AAATGTTATTGGGGAAAATTACTTCCCAGGTGGCTGGCTCAGTGGTGAAGAATCCACCTGCTAAGCACATGTAGGCTCAATCGCTGGGTCAAGAAGGTCCCCTGGAGAAAGAAATGGCAACTCACTGCAGTATTCTTGCCTGGGAAATTCCATGGACAGAGGAGCCTGGCGGGCTACAGTCCATGGGGTGGCAAGGAGTTGGACACGACTTAGTGACTAAACAACAAAAATATATGAACAGACTGAATCTTAACACAATTAAATTTAACAGTCCTTCATTCAAGGTCTGAATCTTTGTTTTTAAATAATCGCAGGGATGATGTGACTTAGCAGAAGCAAAGTCCAGAATTTTTGTTTATTGTTAACCCTACATAAGTTATCTGAATGGTACAGATGCTTTGAAGAAAAACACATATTGATTTCATTAGGAGAGGCATGGTAAGTAGCACAAAGGAAGTGATGGGTCCTTTCTGTTCAGTGTTACCCAGCCCAGAGCTAAAGTATTCATCTGTGTGGGGCCCCACAGTGTGATCGATATAGAGGTATTGGTGTGTCCGGCAGTGGTGACCAGGATGAGAAGAGAAACTCTGGTATGGGAAATGGCTGAGCGGCTGGAAGGAGTTGCTGAGAAGTAGAGTGGCATCACTGATGCAATGAACATGAATTTGGGCAAACTCCAAGGGATGGTGAGGGACAGGGAGGCCTGGTTTGCTGCAGTCCACAGGGTCACAAGAGTCGGACGCAACTGGGCAACTGAACAACAGCAACAACAAGAAGAGGCACAGACAAGCAGAAAGCATGATCAGGGTATTCAGGCTTCGGGAGAGTTCAGGGGAGAGGAGTTGGTGATGTTCTGTGTGGCCCTGGAGAGCAGAAACTGGAACTACAGGAGAAGCTACAGAAGATTCAGCTCTGCGTAAGGAAAAATCTGTCCCAGATGAGTCTTTATAAGAAATGAGTTGTCTATGTCTATAGGTATACAAGTAGTCTGAAACAGGAATATTAAGGAAATGAAACAAAGAATACAAAGGAATACAAACATAAAAAGGAAGGCAGAGAGGCAGAAGATACAGTTTTGAGAGCTCAACGCAAGTTGCAACAAATGATCTGACCTGCCTCGTTCACATCTTGCTAGTGATATCCTGAATCGCCAGCAGATGGAGATATTACCCCAGGAAAGGAGGTCTCTGCCTGCTTCCTCCCTCAATCCTCCAATTCCTTACTTGGAAAGAAGCAGCTTTTCCTTTTCTGAAAAATAATGCTAAGAGAATCCCAGAAGTCTCTGAATTTCCAAATTAAATTTATAAACAAACATTTTGTGGCAAATCCTGACTGTGATTTCCCCTGACTCTAATTTAGAAGAGGTCACTATAGCTTTTGGCATTTTGGTCACTGACTGAGTAGGTCAGTGAAAAAGAGGAGAGTAAAAAAGTTGGCTGAAAACTCAACATTCAGAAAACTAAGATCATGGCATCTGGTTCCATCACCTCATGGCAAATAGATGGAGAAACAGTGGAAACAGTGACAGACTTTATTCTTTCGGGCTCCAAAATCACTGCAGATGGTGACTGCAGCCATGAAATTAAAAGACGTTTGCTCCTTGGAAGAAGAGTTATGACCAACCTAGACAGCATATTAAAAAGCAGAGACATTACTTTGCCAACAAAGGTCTGTCTAGTCAAAGCTATGGTTTTTCCAGTAGTCATGTATGGATGTGAGAGTTGGACTGTAAAGAAAGTTGAGCACTGAAGAATTGATGCTTTTGAACTGTGGTGTTGGAGAAGACTCTTGAGAGTCCCTTGGACTGCAAGGAAATCCAACCAGTCCATCCTAAAGGAAATCAGTCCTGAATATTCATCAGAAGGACTGATGCTGAAGCTGAAACTCCAATATTTTGGCCACCTGATGTGAAGAAATGACTCATTTGAAAAGACTCTGATGCTGGGAAAGATTGAAGGTGGGAGAAGGGGACGACAGAGGATGAGATGGTTGGATGGCATCACTGACTCGATGGACGTGAGTTTGAACAAGCTCCAGGAGTTGATGATGGACAGGGAGGACTGGCGTGCTGCAGTCCATGGGTCTCAAAGAGTTGGACATGACTGAGCATCTGAACTGAACTGAGTAGGTCATCTTGCCCCATTCTGGTTCCATATGCATGTGTATGTATGTGTGTGTATATATATATATATATATATATATATATGATCTGTGTGTTTAGAACATTGTTAAATAATTAAACAATATAGGTGTATACTACAGTCCCCTTCCCATTAATATTTTCCTTTTGATAGAATCTCTGTCACTTTGAACTCTTGCCTGTGGGAATTCTGTGAGTCTCTGTTCTCAATCAATGTGGCATATTCTTCACTCTTCCACTCAGCTATAAAGCAGCCAATTCGTAGGGCTTTCACAGACTTTGACTGGTAAAGATGTACCTTAAAAGGGAAAGTCTTGGACTTTCCTGGTGGTCCAATGGTTAAGACTCCCAACTTCCACTGCAGAGGGTCATGGGTTTGATCCCTGGATCCCTGGTTGGGGAAATTCCACATGCCTTGCAGTTGGGGGTGGGGGGAGAGACAAGGAAAATACTCTTGTACAACAGTGCTCCACAAACGAAGGGCAAATGAGTTACCTAGTGATCCTGTTAAAGTGCAGATTCAAGTTCCCAGGTTGTGTTGATGCTCTTGGCCCAAAGATCACACACTTTGAGTAGCAAGGTCATATAATATGTCCCTATATGAGGAGGGGCAAGACACTTCTCTCAAGAAATATAATTGATTCCTTGTGCCCACTGCTGTCTTTGTTACTCATTAACTATGATTTAAGTCTTCATGTTTTATTCAACCATCCCACACTTACAGAGAATCTGCTATCTGTACACCGAATGTCAGTTAAATTTAAGCAACTTTAGTGTTTTTAAGCTCCAGTCCCTATGCTAGGCTCCTAGGTTTGTGATGATTCAGACTTATTCCTTGGCTTGTCACTCATTTCATTCAACCTTTACTGAGGGTCTGCTATGTTCCAGGCACTGCTCCAGAAGCTAAAGATTCAGCAGTGAATAAAACAAACAAGTCTGTTCATTTTCAAATCTGGGAATATTTGAAAGAAAAACTAAATGATGATAGCAGATTCTAATCTATTGAATAAAAACAAATCCACAAGTCCACACTGATGTAACTAAATAAATAGGAAGTGTGATGAACAGGATATTTACTTAGTCTATATGTACCTGCCCGCAAAATACCTATTAATTACAAATGGAAAACAATATTGTGGAGAAGCCTGACTGATACCACTTCAGTTAAGTGATCAAAGTTACTATCAGCAGTAATGGAATAAATTGAAGTCATGTACCAGCTAACATGATATAATGAGAATAGCATCATATCTGTAATATTCCTGCCAAAGATGCACAAACTGAGACTCATAAGTTGGAAACATTAGACAAACCCAGACTAAGAGACAGTCTACAAAATAAGTGCCCTATAACTGGCTTTTTAAATTTAAAATTCAAAGTCAAAATAAGAGTGAAGAACTGTTCTGGGCTGAAGGAAACTACAGAGCTATGATAGCTAAATGCAACATGTGGTTCTGGGTAAGAATTTTTGCTATAAAAACATTACTGGGACAGTAAATGAACTTAAATGGGGCATGATGATTATATGGTAGTAATGCAATAATGTTAATTTCCTGATTTTGACATCTGGGTTGTAGTTATTTCTGGTGACTCAGAACCTGCCTGCCAATGCAGGTGATGTGGGTTTGGTACCTAGGTTGGGAAGATCCCCTGGAAAAGGAAATGGCAACCCATTCTAGTATTCTTGCCTTGGAAATCCTGTGAACAGAGGAGGCTGTTGGGCTACAGTCCGCAAGGGTTGCAAAAGAGTCAGACGCAACTTAGCAACTAAACAATTGTAGCTACTTAGGGATTGTTGTGGTCTATAGGAACTATTACATGGTCTTCAGGGTGATGGACATCAGGTTGATAACTTAGTCTGAAAAGATCAGGGCAAAAATAAGATTCTTTGCACTATGCCTGTAGTGCTTCAGAAAGTGTGATTGGGTAATTAGAAGAGTGACATGTGCTCAGGCAAAGGGAAGCTAGGGTGTTAAAAGGCGATTTGGATCATCTTGGAGGTATGTGTCGGGGGGAAAGAGGATGAGTCTGGGAAGAAGGCAATTTGGAGAACAGAGACGATCTGGTTCTTTCCCTTCAACAGTATTTCCCTTTGGGCAAAAGGGGCCTTGGCCCGGGTCATGCTTAAAGCTCCATAGGCCATACTTTGACTCTCATTTTGGTCTAATAACTCCAAATAAGGGATGGAGGGAGAGGTGAATCCATAGGAACAAAGGGACATGCCCATAAGATTGGCTTCCTTCTTTCAGTCCACCCCAGAATCCTTGAGCTTTCTGGGCTTCTCCCCTGGTCCATCCTTGCTGGGTTGATTGAGCCACAGGTGTATGCACGCCTAGCCCAAGAACTGATCATAGCTGTTTACAGGCTTGTGGACCAAGCATAGGGGGTTAAGGACTGATGTCCAGGTGTGTGGATGGAGGACTTGGAGAAATGCTACTCTCGGCAAGTCACCACATTTAGCTGGAGCTCAAGGATTGCCCATTAGTGAATTCTAAATTTGAACTCGGGCTTTCAGATCTTAGTATTAATAAGACATATTTACACAGTAGTAGAGATAGACAATACCCTACCTAGATTGTGCAGAGGAAGACATCCCACACAACGCAAGGCTTGTAGACGCGAGCCCCCTACCAGCACGCAAGATGTAATGCGCTTGCTGAGTGCTGGGCCAGTCAGGTACTGCGCCTTGGAGAAGCCGGCAGGGCAAAGGGAGGACGGAGGCCACGCCCCCTTGGGGTGGGGCGAGGGTGGGCGGGGCAGGCGCGCCTAAGAGCTCAGGAAAAGGGCGCTTAGGGGGCGACGTCCTGTGGGGCGGAGCCACGCGTCTTCGCGTGCGCGGGGCGGTGCCCGGAGAGACCACGCCTCTTCCGGCCCGCCACGGTACCTCCTCGTGTGCCTTAAAGGAACTGCTGGCTGCAGCTGTTTCAACTCCGGGGATTCGGGGCTGGCCAGGTCAGATGGCGGCGGAGGTGTTTCCAAGTGCGAGGTGGCAGTACTGTGGGGAGCCCGACGACAGCCAGAGCGCTCTGCTGGGTAAATACTGCGAAGCTGAAGCAGGTTTTCCTGTAACTTCCTCCCCTTCCGTCCCGGTACCGCTACAGCCCTCCACTTCCAACGTCCGACCAGCCGCATTCCCAGCTGGGCCAGGGCCTCTTATAGGCTCCATTACTCCTTGGGGCTCGGCCAGGGCTCTCCTGTCATCCTGTCTGTCTGCTACTACCTCCCAGGTGGATGAGGACATGCCAGTTACGTCCTCCCCAGTGCTGGCGCTGTATGTATCGAGGACTCCGTCAACCCCTCACCCACCAGGTCTCACACCTGCTCCATTTCCTTCTCTCCACTGGCCAGGAATTCCCTCAGCCTTTCTAGGTTTGGCCGAGGTCTCCTTAGTCAGCCCCACTCCCCTAGTTATTCCTTCCCGTGGAGGCCCGTCACAGCTCCAACCCTTCCCCAGCCCCTCTTCCCACCTGGACCAGGACAGCTTTGAGTTAGGACCCGGGCTTCCTTGCTATCCCCATTCCCGAAGTTGGTCACTTCCTCCCATTGACATTCATTTCCTCCCCACCGTACTCTCTGGATTTTTCTGCTCTCATCTCATTCTTCTGCTGTAATCTTACAGTCCAGTTCTCCAATGGGAGGCTGCAGAATCCAGGCAACATGCGCTTTACCTTGTACAAAAGCAACGACTCCACAAACCCCAGAAAGAGGAATCAGCGGATCCTGGTAAGTGCTGCTGTGGCCAGTCACCGCCACTCTGCAGACCTCAGGAGGCCTTTTGGGTGTGTGTTGATGTAGGAAGGAGTGAAAAGAGAAAAGAGGGGGAATAGCAGATGAACCTTTGAAGAACGTTGCACCCCAGCAGGCTGGGGTGTGGAGACAGGCCCCAGTCAGTGCACACTTGTGGTGAAGTGATGGCTTTTTATTAATTTGTTCAATCAACAAGCATTTACTGAGTCCCCAGTGTGGCCCTGGACTGTAAGCTGCTAGGGAAGTAGCTAAGTCAGACCTGGCCCCACTCTGAGGTAGCTCATACCATAGAGCAGTGTTTCTCAGCCTCGGCACTATTGACATTCTGACCCAGATATGTCATTCTTTGTTGTGGGGGCTGTCTTGTGCATCACTGGATATTTAATAGCTTCCCTGCCTTCTGCCCACTAGTAGCGCTTCCTAGTTGTGGCCAACAGGATGTCAGAAATTCTCAGGTATCTGCATTCCCTGCTCTCGAGAGATGAGAACTGGATGTGAGGAGCCCATGCATAAGTAAACAACGCTCTGGGCCCCAGGGGGAGCGAGTACACAGCAGGGCAGAGTGGGCTGAGTCAGTGCAGGCTCTGCTTGCCAGAATGTCCTCCTGGGGGAGGGTGTATGGGAGCTGAACCCTGAAGCATGGAGGAGGGTTTAACAGCTCAAGCTAGCACTACAGGTGAAGGGGACAAACATGGGGAGAGGGCAGGGAGACTTGATGGAGGGCTGAGCTCACCACCTCCATGGCCCTGAGGGGTTTACTCGGTGACTGGCGCAGTGGTAGAGAGCCCACCTGCCAGTGCTGGAGACCTGGGTTCAGTCCCTGGGTCAGGGAGATCTGGAGAAGGAAATGGCAACCCAATCCAGTATTCTTGCCTGGAAAATTCCATGGACAGATGAGCCTAGTGGGCTACAGTCCATGGGATTGCAGAAGAGTCGGATACAGCTTACTGACTAAACAACAGTAGCAGTGATCCTGAGAGCAAATAAGGAGCAGTCGTGATAGAGGTGGGCAGAGAGGTTCAAGAAAGGCTTGGGCTTTAGTGTTGCCTGCAGAATCATTTTGTTGCATGCCTGTAAACTGTGGAAGCCCAGGGCCCATCTCCCAAGTCCTGAGGCACAGCTCCACCAAGAACTTTTCAGACTAGCTAGAAGCCAGTACTACCTGGAACTTTTCAAAAGTCCTCTTGCCTTTCCACCAGGACACCCCAGACTCACTTAGAGATAGTGGAACTGGATCATCTCAAAGAGGCTCTCTTGTCTCATCCACTGCAGTTTGGATTCTAAAGCTTCTGCAAACTCAGAAAAGGGCGTCAAGATGTTTACTATCTTTCATCGTTGGTTGTAATGGAGCCCTTCCTTCTTCTACATTTCAGGCAGCTGAAACAGACAGACTTTCCTACGTGGGAAACAATTTTGGTACTGGAGCTCTCAAATGCAATACTCTATGCAGGTAGGGATAGGGGACAGTGATTGTGGGAAGTGGGGATGGTGGTGGCGGCGGCAGCGGCCCTGACACTGCTCTTCTCTGACTTTATTTTAGCTGCAGCGGGGGAAATCTAGAGAGGCTTACCAGGTTTCTGTGTTCCAAGACTCAGGGACCTTCACATCAGCATGTAGTCAGTCTTGAAATTGAAGAGTGACTTACATTTATTTAATTTCCTAAAACTTCATTCATTTGTAATTTTTAAATTTTTTAAAAAGTTGAGATGTAATTGACATATAGCATTAGTTTCAGATGTATGATAAAATGATTCAGTGTATGTAACGCTGCAAAATGGTCACAACAGTGTCTGGTTAACATCCATACAGTTAAAATATTTTTTCCTGGGATGAGAACTTTAGAGGCTTACTTTCTTAACATCTTTCAAATATACAATGCAGTATTATAGTTACTGTGCTGAACATTATACCTCCAGGACTTACTTTATTTTATAACTGGACGTTTGTGCCTTTTGACCTTCGTTAGTTTTGACCACATCATTAACTTGAAATATTCTCTATTTATAATAATCTTGTTCCTAAAAGGCAGCTGTCACCATTATTTTGGAATGTGTGATCAACACACCAAAGTTTTCCAGGAGTCTGCCTTGGAAGTAACTACAAGAAAAGGGTTTGGTAGTGTCCAGGGCTCCAGAATTTCTGTCTAGTTCTGGAAAGATTACTGACTTTGGGTAACTCCGCTGTTTACTGACCTCTGGTTTACCTCTTGGTACAATGAAGATTGTTTAGCCTAAACAGTCTCACGGTCAGGAGTTGCATAATGCAGTGTCCCTGTGAAGATATCCATCCATGAACCACAACCAAGGCCCTTTCAGAGTCATCTCCCCCGTCCCCCGCCCCAGCAGCTGATAGAGCTCCAATGACTGTGCTTGAAACTTTTATCATCTCTTTACAAAGATTTTCTGGTTTAAACTGGTCTTCTCATAATTATCAAAGTTTTGTCTTTGCCTCCATAGAATTTACACATGGGGTAAATTCTAGTGTAGTTCTAGATTGTTATATCCCAAAAGGTTTTACCACTACATCAGTGACCCCAAATGTGATTGGCTGTAAGAATCACCTGGTGACTTCGCTGCTACCCTCCCCTCATTTCCCTCTGCTTGCAGAGAATATCTGCTGTGGGGGATTATTGTTACTCATGAGTAAGTGGTGCCTTTTAGGCAGAAACAAGGAGATTGTATAAACAATACCTTTTGAATGATCCATTGTCACTGATATTCCTTCTTTATTCAGGCACTTTGTGGGAATTTTGAACAAGACTTCTGGCCAGATGGAAGTATATGATGCTGAGTTGTTCAACATGCAGCCACTATTTTCAGGTAGGTTCTAGTTATGAAGGCTCAAGGAAAGGCTGAATATTTTAGGTTTGCTGGATATATCAGTTTGACTTGTAAACTACATTTTGTAGCTGTTTTTTAAAGGTGTTTTTTTTTTCATTTGACAAAGTTTTAAAAGTGATTTTACTCAGCAAATATTTATTGATGACCTACTGTGCCCAAAGCACAAGTTAGGGGCTGTGAATATAGCAAAACAGACACAGATTCTGCCCCTACAATGTTTACAGACTGAAGATCAAAATCTAATCTTAGTTTAAGCAAGTTGAACAATGATCAGAGCAGAGTAATGGAGGGCATGTCTGATACTCTTTTTCATCGAGGGCCTTTCTTAATTCTTAATGGTTCTAGTTGGGGTAGAGGTTTTAGAATCTCTGGTAGGTTGGAGAAGTTGCTTATAGGTTGGACAGTAACATTCAGGTTGATGCAAAGTCTCTATGCTTTTTTTTTGAATTTTTAAATTAAAAAAAATTTTTTTTTCCCTACACTTTGTAATTTGGGAAGAGATCTATTTTTCCTCTAACCCACTGGGAGAAGTTGCAATACCTCTCTCCTCTGGCATTTTAGAATGTATTGGGCTAGAGTGGGATCTTTAAAAATGATAGATAAGATGGTCAAACTCAAGGGGCTCCTGTTTCTAAGTCTTAAATACTGAGAACCATGGTTGGGGAGGGAATTAAATAAGGATTATTAGGATCATTGTGAATCTGCTTGATACCTTCAGAGGCATTAGTTCTGATAACTTCATTCTGGCAAAGCAGTGATCTCAGCCTTTCTGAGAATCTTGTACAGAACCAGAAGTACTTCTGAGAAACATACATAATATACAAAAAATATGAGATTTTGCATATAATTTTAAAGGGCTCTTGCATCCCAAAGGTCATCTGTGAATTTCTTAGGGGTCCATAGTCTCTAGGTAAAGAATTCCCTGCTTTGCAAAGAAATAAAACAACATATAAATTATCCTTCAAATGCTCTTCTAACTTCCAATTATATACAAAAAATATGAGATTTTGCATGTAATTTTAAAGGGCTCTTGCATCCCAAAGGTCATCTGTGAATTTCCTAGGGGTCCATAGTCTCTAGGTAAAGAATTCCCTGCTTTGCAAAGAAATAAAACAACATATAAATTATCCTTCAAATGCTCTTCTAACTTCCAATGAACAAAGAAAATTGTTCATTAATTTGTTATTTAAACACATTTGTAAATATTGATTAATTCCAACCAGTATATATCAAAAACACACACACATTTATTGGGTCTCCTTACTATGCTCTGGACACTGTTCTAAGCACTTTCAATGCATTATATCGCTTACTTCACTTTTTTTTTTTTTAAATCAATGATGAACCTGGGATAGAAGTTAAATGACTTTGGCAGGAACATACTGCTGTTATATGTAAGAGACTTGGGATTTAAATGCAAGCAAGGTCACTTCAGAGCTTATGCTCCTATCCAATAGATTATTGATCCTTATGTGAATAATCTGGGAGATCAGAGAGCTTCATGTAAAATAATACATACCTCATGTTTATGCCTGGTTTTAGGTCTTAAAATTTAAAAAAATTTTTTTTATTGAAGCATAGTTGATTTCTAGTATTTTGTTAGTTTCAGGTGTATGGCATAAGATTTTTTTTTTTTGGCAGATGACATTCCAATATAGATTATTACAAGCTATTGGGTACAATTCTCTGTGCTATCCAGTAAATGTTGCTTACCTATTTTATGTATAGGAGTTTATATCTATTAATCCCGTACTCCTAATTTGTACCTCCCCCACATCCGGGGGCTGGTTGGCTCAGATCATGTGCCAGGCTGTGGTGTGGAGAGCCCATGCAAACCTTCCTTTCCTTTCACATCCGTTTGTGGGGGGGCAGTGGTGGGGGTCCCAACCCTATTACCTGGTTACCTGGAACTCGTTCTTCTGCCAGTTTCTAGTTAGTTTTCCATGAGAACTGTTCCATATATAGATGTATTTTTGATGTATTTGTCAACAGGAGGTGAGCCCCCTGTCCTCCTCCTCGGCCTTCCTGATCCCTCCTCCTTATCTCTTTTACAGGAGGGCAAAACTATGTACTGGAAAGAGCACGGGACTTAGTTTCCAGTCCCGTCTCTGCATTGCCTGGGGCAAGTCATTTCACCTGGAGGCCTCATATTTCCTTGGATCCCTTCACTTGATTCCATAGTTTATTCTCCAGATCCTCTTATCTGTATACTGAAATATTGAATGTTCACAGTACACATGCATGTTAAGCTCTGGGAAGTCCTGTAATAGAGAAATCTGGTTTTCTTAGATTAACTGTTAACCAAATATTAAACACTCTTACTGTCTGCAGGCAAACTTAACAATTTGCTTTTTCTCTTTGTTTTATGTTTTGTAGATGAATCAGTTGAGAGTGAATCAACACTGGAGAGTCAAGCCAAATCGTTCAGAGAAAAGGTAAGTGTGACGGAGCTAAGATGTGAGGCTAAGGTGAGTTCCTTCCAGGCCTTGAATTTCTCCACCAGTAATATAAAAACGCACGGTTCTCCCTGGGCGCTCCCAGTTCGTTAGTCTGTGGCTCTCTGGACAGCTCCTACCTGCAGAGGCCTCTGTGGCCTCGCAGAGAGCAGATGCCCTATCTGGGGCAGCTGTGCATGGCTCTGCGCCAGCCTCTGGGACTGGTTCTCTGCTGGGCAGTCACTGCAGGTGTGGCATAGCACTTACTCTCAGGATTTAATCCAAGTTTTAGAAAAGACTGGTTGTAGCCTGGAAACTTCACATCAAGACAAAGTAAACTTTAGGATTGTCAGTGTAGTAACTTCCTACAGGCTCATCTCATCCTAGGATGCAGGCTGATAGATCTTCAGGACTGCCTGCAGCACTGTATTGAGAAGGGTGTGAGGCTGTCTGCAGGCTCAGAGGGGGAATGAGTGATCTGTTAGCAGTGTCTGCTGTGGCTGTAGGATTGAAAAACGGTGAGCCGTGTGCCCCAGATTTACTGACCCTAATTCTAGTCAAGTCTTTTCATTTACAGATGGAAACACTGTTGATTTATAAATGGCTCATTATAGTTTATAAAACAAGCACTTCAGATCTCTTAATATCTTTTGGTTCTTACAACAAGCCTATGAGGTAATTAGGTATGAGTCAGCCCAGTTTACAGGTGTGATATTGATGGGCTCAGAGAAGCTGAGAGTTTCCCTGTAGTCACACAGGTAGGAGTAGCAGTGCTCAGCCTGTCTCCGGTGACCAGATTTGTCTTTGGCACAGATGGACTCTTGCATTGAAGCCTTTGGTACCACCAAACAGAAGCGAGCTCTGAACTCCAGGAGAATGAACAAAGTTGGCAGCGAATCTTTGAATCGTGCAGTGTCTAAAGCCGCAGAGAATATAATTGATACAAAGGGTGTGACTGGTAAGCAGCTGAAACTTGGAGTTAGAGGCTGCTCCTTGAGACAGCTGTCCCTTCTCTTGGGATCCTTTACCTGCCTCACAGATGGACATGATGGGAGTTAGGGCTGTATTCCTTCCTGCTTCTCCCTGAAGGCCTTCTTCGGAATAGACTCTGGGAATTGTGAGAAACAGCTGACAATGCCTGCCCTCTGTGAGCTCAGTCGAGTAGTTTTTCTATTAAAATGGAATTTTAGGAAATTTTAGAAAACCTTTCCATACCCTATGATTATATAAATATTTTTGTATATTTTCTTTCACTGCTTTCACAGTTTTACTTTTTACATTTACATTTTAATGATCTTTTTTTTTGGGTCTATGGTACAAACCTCATTTTATCTTTTCCAAATGATTAGCGAGTTGTCCTCAACTTCATCTTTTCCTTGTGTAAAAAATGATTTAAAAAGTCATCTTTATCATTTTACCACATTCTTAATTGGGTTCTGTTTCAGCATTCTGACTGGCTATTCGTGTAGCAGCATACGGTCCTTCTAATTCCAGTAGCTTCACCATCCAGTTTATTGTCTGATGGGGCAACTTCATCCTTATTATTCACAAATGTATGCTGTTGTAGCATACTTTTTCTTCCAGATGATCTTAAGAATTATTTTGTCAAATTCCCTCAAAATCCATTTGGGATTAATATGGGGAAAATCAGCATCTTTATAATACTATGGTTTCCCATTTAGAAACATAGAAATATGTCTCCATATGGTCAAAGATACAGTTTAATGTCTTAAGTAAATTTTTCAATTTTTTAATTCAGTTTATTCTCAGCTATTAACAGTAAACTTAATAGCTGAAGACATTTAAAAAGAAAAAAAATTCACCCATTTTCCTGTCGTTCTTCAAGCCCAGCTGTTACAGTTTTCCTGTTTTCCTCTCTCTTCTTGTCTGTGTGCATCCTTAATTCAGATGTGGTTATTCCTCTATGATAGTTACAGTTTTACGATTTGACCTTTCTCTTTCACTCACAACACATGAGGTTCAGATGAGGGGGTTCTGGGCCGATGATAATCTCGAGTGCCCAGGTTGCAGAGAGCGTTGGGGAACCCAAAGCTGAGCAGGGTGACACTGACGCTTACTCTTCCTTTATTGAAAAGCCCTGGTCAGTGACGCCCTCCACGATGACTTGCAGGATGACTCTATCTATCTTCCTCCCTGCCACACCGATGCAGCCAAGCCTGAAGACGTGTATAAGTTTGAAGACCGTATCCTTCTTGCAGCAGAAACGCCACTTCATTTCCCAAGTAGGGATGTGCGCACAGCAGTGCCATGGCCAGGCTCTCTGAGGATGTTGGTGGTCCTGTGATGCTCACAAAAGCTCGCCCCAGACGCTTGCTGTTGCCCCAGCACTGTTGCTGGGAAGTCAGCGAGGCTTCCCCAGTAGCTGAGGACATACGGCACCCCCGGCCTCTCAGCACCTGTGAATCGAACCCATCCCTCAGCAAAGTGCCCACAGCTCTGCTCAGTGGGTGGGGCTTACTTTCCACAAAGAGGCAAAATATGACTTTTAAGTTGGCCAGTGCCCAAAGTCTAGGGCAGGCTGATTTTGTAAAAGGAAAGGTTAGAATGTAGAGTTTCCATGCTTGTGATTCTACTCAGATGGAAGATGCCTGCAGCAGCTTTGTGATAAGACAGAAAAGTCCAGGCAGACCATGAGCTCTGGGCTGGGAGTCGGGAGAACTGAGTCCCAAAAGCTCTGCCCAAGCAGACTGTGTTATCACCCCCTCTCAGCCTGTTTTCCTGTTTCTAAGATGAGGCTGTTACAACATGATCTAGCTAGTTGATGTTTCCACTTTGGTTGGGCTTTTCTTGACCTGTAACTAGTTCTTTCCCCTGTGGAGTATGATGCTCTGCAGAGCCCATCTGAAGCTTTCAGGAATGTCACCTCAGAAGAAATACTGAAGATGATTGAAGAGAACAGGTACCCCGCTTGGGCGGACGGAGAGTCTGGGTTGTGGTGTTGGGACACACACTTCATGTACTCAGACATGAAGGAGACCTCGGGTGTCAGTGAGGACATATGTCTCTTTAGCATTTGGACATGAATGAGCTCGTGTTTCCTCCAGTGTTCGGGCTCCTAGGCCTATTGCCCCAAGGCTGTGGGTGGCATTCAAGGGAGAGCGTTGGCCTCTGAGTGCAGGGGTCGTGTGGCTGGGCAGAGGGTGGTGAGGCCTTGTAGGCTGGGGCTGAGCACTGGGGCTGACCTGTATTCCCCCCACAGTGTTACACCGGGTCCAGGGGCTGGCCTGGGAGTAGGTGCCTGCCGAAGTGATAGTTTATCTGTGGTGATGTGTTGAGTGAGCTTTTCTAAAGTTGAATTATATACATTATTTATTTACTGGTTTTTAATGTCTATATTTTTGGCTGTGCTGGCTCTTCGTTGCTGCGCAGNAACGTTACACCAGGTCCAGGGGCTGGCCTGGGAGTAGGTGCCTGCCGAAGTGATAGTTTATCTGTGGTGATGTGTTGAGTGAGCTTTTCTAAAGTTGAATTATATACATTATTTATTTACTGGTTTTTAATGTCTGTATTTTTGGCTGTGCTGGCTCTTCGTTGCTGCGCAGGCTTTCTCTGGACGTGGTGAGCAGGGGCTCATCTAGTTGCGGTGCTCGGGTTTCTTATTGCGGTGACTTCTCTTGGTGCAGAGCAGGGCTCTCGGGCGCCCAGGCTTCAGAAGTTGCTGCATGGTAGCTGTGATGCACGGGCTTAGTTGCCCCGGGGCCTGGGGGATCTTCCCAGACCAGGGATCAAACCAGTGTCCCTTGTATAGCAAGATGCATTTTTTTTTTTTTTTCCATTTCTTCCTGCTCTTTTTTTTTTTTAATTATTTATTTTTTTGTTGCACCGGGTCTTCACTATGGCATGTGGGGTCTCATTCCCTGACCAGGGATTGAACCTGAGCTCCCTGCATTAGGGAGTCTTAGCCACTGGACCACCAGGGAAGTCCTGCAAGATGGATTCTTAACCAGTGGACAATCAGGGAAGCCCTGAATTATGTTCTTTAAATATAATGTATTTTAAATAATTCAGAGGTGATTGCCTCTAGTCCCCTCCCCCTTTTTTTGGCTTTTAAAACAGCTTTTCTTTTATGATGGTAGTGGGGAATTTTTTTGCTTTTGAGTTTTTCTTTTAATAATTTTTTCTTGAAAAAATGTTGTCAACCCTAGGTTGGTTCCCTAGATATTTGTTTGGAAATTTTACTGGTCAGTGAAATCCAGAGTCTTAGAAAATATGTATTTCCCCCCCCCCCCCTCTAAAGATCCATTTCCAAAAAAAGCTTCTTTGCTGGTTGTTTGTTATCTTAATGTGATTGTGGCTCAGGGCCAGGTACTGGAATGAACTCTGGGCTGGGAGTCTGGAGAACTGAGTCCCCATCTGCCTGATGGACTATGTGGTCTTTCCCTCTCTGAGCCTTAGTTTTCCCATCTGTACAAGGAGGCTGCCATGAGATGACCTTGAAGAGCTTTTTATAGCTGCGATTCCATGCTCATGATAGTGGTAGAACAACAGTATGTAAAAATAACAGCCAGCGCTGATGGGACTCTTCCCTGTACCAGGCGCCACTTTAATTGTATTGTCTCATTTACTCCACAAAAATCCACAGGGTGAGGGTACTTAATTTAGAGGTAAAGAAACTTTAGAGGAGATGTTCAGAAGCTTCCCCAAGCCACTGCATGGCAGAGAGGGGACTCAGACCCAGGCAGTTGGGAGCCCGTGCCCCAGACCACCACCCCGGGATTGGGCAGCTGTGGCCAGAGTGCTGAGTCTTGGACGCTGCCTGTGGATAAAGTTTTATTGGAACCTAGCTTCAGTCATTCATTTACGTGTTAATCAGCGGCTGCCTTTGCTCTGCAGTGCCAGTGACCGTTTGCTCACGAATGTGTACTTGCTGTCTAGACCTTTACGGCCCTGCACTCAGTTCATGCTCCTCCTACTATAAGGGGCTGGCGGGATGGCCCTTCCGCAGCTGTTGACTGTATAGCAGGTGTGGGGGTGCCTGCTGGCTGCTCTGACACATCTCCCCTTTCGTCTCCTTGTAGTCACTGCCCCTCTGTCATAGAAGCACTGAAGTCTCTGCCCTCAAATGAGGAGAGCCGAGACCGCCAGGCACGGTGCGTTTGGTACCTGGACACCCTCATCAGATTTCGAGCGCAGAAGGTGATTAAGCGGAAAAGTAAGTCCGTGATAGACGGTTTTTTTAATTGAAATACAGTCGTTTTACAATATGTTTGTTTCAAGTATGCAGCAAAGTGATTCAGTTACATGTGTATTTACACATATATATATTCTTTTCCAGATTTTTTTCCATTATAGACTATTACAGGATACTGTATATAATTCTTTGTGCTATACTGTAGGTCCTTGTTATTTTATATATAGCAGTGTGTATCTGTTAGTCCCAAACTCCTAATTTATTTCTCCCTGCCTTGCTTTTCCCCTTTGGTAACCATACGTTTATTTTCTATGTCGAGTCTGATTTGTATCATTTTCTTTAGAGTCCACATAAAAGTGATGTTATATTTGTCTCTCTCTGTCTGGCTTTACTCATTATAATAATCTCTAGGTCCATCCATGTTGCTGCAAAGGGCATCATTTCATACTTTTTCATGCCTGAGTAATATTCCAGAGAAATATATATACTACATCTTTATCCATTCATCTGCTGATGGACATTTAGGTTGCCTCTGTGTCTTGGCTGTTGTAAGTAGGGCTACAATTATCTGTCAGTAATTATTAGACTAGCGCTAATGAGAGAAGAAATGGACATCTTTCCAGGCCTTCATTTATAACTGTAACAGTGGGGTACTGCTGATATGCTGAGGGAACTCGCCAAGCTCTTTCCTCTGAAAGTAGGGTCGAGTTGGATTATACGATTGCTCAGAGTTAACATTCACTGCTTCTGTTCTGTGTTAGGTAAAGTCTAACATCCAGTCCGATCAAATGAATGTTCCAGGGGATGGTTAGAAATAGTTGTATGGGGAGAAAAGTTGGCCTTGCTTGTGAAGGCCTGTCCACGCTGTTGGGTCAGCTCCTTCTGGCTCGGAAGGAAGTCAGTTTCTGCTGGTAACCCATGTCACCTGTCACTGGGGCCTGGGTGTCTGCTGCACACTCAGAGCCACCCAGAGTTGGAAATCCAGAGAGAGACACCTGTGATTTGAGGCCTAAAGTGTGTCCAGTCGTGTTACTGTGACTGGGCACCTGGGGTCTATACAGGAACACCTCGTGCTTCACAGATACCACGGTCTTTACAAATTGAAGGTTTGCAGCAACCCTGGGTTGACCCAAGTCAGCACCATTTTTCCAACAGTCTGCTTACTTTGTGTCTATGTGTCATGTCTCACTATGAATATTTTCAACTTTTACGTTATATTTATTGTGATAGTCTATGATCAGTGATCTTGGATGTCACTGCTACGACCCACTGAAGGTTCAGATGATGGCTAGCAATTTTTTAGCAGTGAGGTATCTTTTAATTGAGGTATGGACATTGATTTTTAATTTTTAATTAATTATTGGACACTTTTTTAAAAAACGTGATACGCCTGCACACTTAGGAGACTCCAGTGGACTGTAAACCTAACTTACAGGCATTGGGAAAACCAGGCAGTTCATGTGACTTGCTTGATTGTGGTGTTCTCGAACCAAACGTGCAGTAACTCTGAGCTGTGCCTGTTCTCATGTTTTTCAGGATCTGCTTAATTCTTGTTTCACATTCCAATCTCCCCTCCTTTCCCTCTCCCTGAGCTTCCTCCACAGTCTGTTTCGCTTTCTAACATCTTTGAATCATGTGTCTCTAGGCCTCACTGGAGTCTGGTTTTCTTACTTGTCACTGCCCCGTCATGAATATCTCTTGCGCACACATGGTCTGCAGGCGAAACACACCTGAGCCTGTGTTGATTTGTGGCTGTTCTGTTTCGTGGGCCCCTTTTTGTCTTCCTACATGCCTCTGTTTAGTCCAGGGGCCCACTGTTATCCTTGTCTCCCAGCTCATAGGTGAGGCATGGCCTGAGAGTTTTGAAAGAAAATGATCAAACTCCACTTTGTCTTGTAGGTGCCCTGGGACCTGGAGTCCCCCACATCATCAACACCAAACTACTAAAGCAATTCACCTGCTTGACCTACAACAACGGCAGGTCGGGGGGCTTGACTTCTTGGCTTTTGCCTATAAAGGATAGCAGGATTGCGGGGGAGGGGGGCTTGGGTTGCTGTCCATGTTCAGAGACACTGCTGAAGTGGGCACTGCTGCTTGGCGGGGTGTTGGGTGAGTGAGTTAGGCAGCACTGTAGTGCAGACTGTCCCTCTGGGAGAAGTTCACATTAAGGCTCTGGGAAGTCCTGCAACAAAGACTACCCCAGACACTTCTTCCAGGGACGCCTTCCCAGTGTCCCCAGAACCAGTGTTGTATGGAGAGGTGGTGATGCAGGCAGGGGCAGGCCACGGGGATGACTTTGGGGAAAGCTCCCTAAGCAGCACACCTGGGCTTCCTTCCTGCTGTTTGCTTGCAGCGTGTGTCCTCCTTGGACTGCTTGAAGAATCATGGGCAGCCAGGTGTGGAATGACTGTTTTCCCAGCAGCCCTGCTGAGCAGGCTGGGAGGATGGGGATGGTCTGTGCCAGTGCAGGCTCCAGCTGTGCCGGGGGAAGGTGGAGATGCCACCTTTCTGTCCTCCCTGGAGGGACACTGGGATTGGCCCCACTGTGTGTGAAGGCTAGGGCAGAGCAACAGGACGAGGGGTGTTGCTCAGGTTCCTTTTCCTCTCCCCGAGATGAGAAGACAGTTGAATGCATGTGGGACTAGGCTTGGATGTTTTTCCTTTCCTTTTGGAGAAATCGTCTTGGAGTTTAATTTTGTCTCTCTTTTTCTACCACTGATTTGCAGTTTGCGGAACTTAATTTCAGACTCTATGAAGGCAAAGGTCACCGCCTATGTGATCGTACTGGCCTTGCACATCAATGGCTTCCAGATTGACCTGACGATGTTACAGAGGGACCTGAAGCTCAGTGAGAGAAGGTGAGCAGGACAGAAGAAAAAGCTCTCCTAGGGAGCCTTGATGTATTTCTGGTACTGCTAGAAAGCATGAGACACTGTCAAGGGACCCAGGGACAATCTTTAGATGAATGAATGATTGAATGGAGGGGCAGCCAGGCATTACTGTGTCTTCACTATGCTAGGCACAGTGTCAAATCTGCCATGATCTCCCAGTGATTTCTCTTAAGAATCAGTGGAAGAATCTTTGGTTCAGAGAAAGCAGTGACTTTCCCAGGGTCACCCAGTCAAGGGGAATAGTTGGGCTTCAGACGTGAGCCTTCCATTCCCTTGTAACTGAGCAGCCTCCAGTCTCCAAGTTGCTGCCCCTGGAAAGAGGGATTCTGTATGATTCTGATGGGGTAACCTGGGGGTGGATGTTGCATAAGAGAACCCCAGTTTCAGCTTAGCAGAAGGCACTCTCAGAGTCAGATGGAAGGAGCTGCCAGGGGAGGTGTCTTAGGCAAGGCAGGGTGGGAGTTTGGCAGGGCTGCCACGTTCCCTCTTCTCTGACCGAACTGGGAAGTTTGGCGGAAGTGGTGGCCTTTTCAGGCCCTTTCTAGCCTTGGTAGAAGGGATTCAGACTGAGTAGGGAGCACGACCTCCAGGGTGCTGGACCGCAGGGTGTGTTGGCCTTTGTCAGTGATTAAGGAGTATCTGACATCCAAGGACCCTGGTGGTGGTCCAAGAGCACCTAGAAAAACACCTTCATCTGGACTCTTCCTGCAGTCTGGAGCAGGATTATTCTAAGGGCAGTCCACACATGGCCTTCTCACGGATGGTGAGGTTGACCATACAAGAGAAATAGATTCTTGGAGCCTGTAAAATTCTGTTAAGTGCTTGATCCTTGTTATAGGAAGTAAACAGTTTATCAATAGGAGCCAGATAACCTGGTTTTCTATCACATGTATACGCATTTTCTAACCGCTACACATTGACACGGGAGTCTGATGGCTCTCAGCGATCTTGTCGGCCTCTGCTGGGAGCTTTGCTCCTGTGTCCACCTCTGGGATTCTGTCTTTGAGGCATGGAGCACAAATGTGCTCCCGCTCCTGCCTGCCAAGCTTCCTGGAGCATCGCATTGAGGAGACTCTCCCTTGTTTTGTGTGTTTGTTCCTTAGGATGATGGAGATAGCTAAAGCCATGAGGCTGAAGATCTCCAAAAGAAAGGTTTCCCTGGCAGCAGGCGGGGAGGAGGAGCACAGACTGGGCACTCTGTCCATCCCGCTGCCTCCAGCCCAGACCTTGGACCGTCAGTCAAAGCGAAGGAAAATCACCTAGAGGTGTGCTTTCCAGACACAACATTTGGCCATTCCTTCTATTCATTTGCATTTTTATTTTTAAAGAAAGAGGATTAAAGAAGAAGCCTTGCTTTGGCATGGGTATGAAGCCAGACGCCAGCCCCTCAGTTGTGCTGGTCTGAAGCAGAAGCATAAAGCAACACCCTGTTGGATTCCACCTCTCTGCTTTGGTGTCACCATGACTATAAATGGCAGATGGTTCATGTGTGGGATGTGGGAGGGTCGGAGGCAAAAGATCTTACAGGCTGAACTGTGGGCCACATCTAATGGATAAAGGCTAACATTAAGAGAAATGTGAAATGCTGTGCTTAGGTCTAGGAGGGCTGGTGGCGTCCGTGGTGAGGACAAAGCCCAGCAGGGCTGGGAGAGGAGGCTTCAGGTCACCAGTGTGATGGGGTTGCCCAAACAGGCTAATTTAGTTCTGGGCTGCTGAAACAGAGCAGAGCCAAGTCAGAGGAAGTGATTAAATCAGTTGTTCAGCTTGACTCAGGCCACACACAGGGCAGGGGTGAGCTCTGAAAGCCGGTGAATTGGTCAGAGCTCAGTACAGAAAACAAATGGTCCAGATGTTCTTAAGGAGAAAGGTGTTTAATGGTACAAAATTATTAAAAAGTTGCAGGAGCTGGTATCAGGAAGTTGCTGCTAGAACTGCTGAGTTCAAGAACACAGCTTGGGTGGCCAGCCAGGCATGAAGAAGCCACTTGAATTCATGAAGCTTCTTGAATTCAGCTGCTTCCTGATTTCATGAAGCTGGTAACTTGACACTGGAATGCTGGTTCAGCCACCCATGCTTTCAGTATCCAGGCTTGTTAGCATGGACAGCCCAAAGATCAAGAGGCTGGCCTCCATCTTGCTTCCTTCCTCTGTGAGTACACACGTAGGGATCTCATTTCATCTGGGATCCTCACAGTGAGGGTGTCTTAGAAATAGGTTTCAGCTCTCCAGCCTCTAGTTACAGGAAGCCATACCAGAAGCAGATGGGAAGGGCTGCTTCCTGCCACCCATCTTATCTGCCAGGGGACTGGAGAAGTGGTGTCCAGAGGGTTGCTGTGAGGAACGGGACTGTGATGCAGAGACTCGGGTATATGGCTGATGCTCAGACTCAGCCCTTCAAGGATCTCCTGAGGCAGCGGGAGCAGTGCAGTGTGTGGGGCTCGTGCTGGGGGCCGGGGACAGTGGAAGAAGGAAGAGAGAGCCCAGCTCTCTCTGGAAATGAGAAAGGAAGCCAGGCCATCTGTTAGGGAACACATGGTAGAAATGGGCTCGGATGATTCGTTCAGGGCATGTAATCCTTGTATTTCTTCGAGTACCGGGGTGCGGTTGTCAGAGCCACTTCTAATGCACGGCCAGGCCTGAAGTGCCCATTTTCCATGTTCTTGTCTGGTTTGTCCCCGTTTGTGTCTGATCCTGGGAAGCGGGCACTTCCCTCCAGCAGAGGTGTGAGCAGGAAATCTAAATGCCTGTTGTTTTTCTTTATCTAAGCTGTTGCAAAAATCAGGTATGTGACTTTGCATCAGAAAAAATAATAATACTGATCTGACTCTGGGAAAAGAATCCCTAGTGTGTTTGCGGGTGTCATCATGAATACTTTTAGACTCTGATGGTTTTGACACCTTGAAGCTTAATTTCCAGCAGTGATTAGATCACGGCATGTGACCTGGCCTCTGAACAGCCTCTGTCCTCATGGGGAAGCAGTCACTGTGGGAGTCACTTCCGTCACTCACACTGAGGGGCGGTGTGGATGGGGAAAGGCCTCGAATGGTAAGTATACCGCTGACCTTTGGAAACATGGATTTGAACTGCCTGGGTCCACTTAGACATGGACTTGTCTCAGTAGTAAACACTGCAGCACCACATGAGTGGTCGGTTGAACCTGCAGATGCAGAACCACAGATACAGGGAGCTGGCCTGAATCATGTGGATTTTGCAGCTGTGTGGAGGGTCGGTGCCCCTACCTGTTGCATTGTTCAGGGGTCAGCTGTATACTTGGGTGACAACAGGTGTACTTTACTAAGTGTAGGCGATGCAAGTTTTTGTACATCAAGGGGTTTGTGGATCAGAAGGCTCAAAAGAGGGCCCTTTCCAACAAGTCTCGAGAGAGGGCGCCTAGCAGTGCCCAGTATGTAAGCAGCAGTGTCTGGAGCGAGCCAGAGGCCACGAGTGGTACCTTCTTTCCTTGGTAGATCTGTCCGGCGGTCCACACATTATTGTAGAATAACGGGATTGTACTAGGTTTTTTCTGGCTATAAAACCCCATTTATTTACTAGTGTGTTCACAGAGGATCCTTGATCTCACCAAGTTATTTGTCATGATGTCGCTTGATGATCTCTTTGAAGAAAAACAGACTGTGTGGGCTAGAGGCTTATACCCTTAGTAAGATTTGCTGTTTGTGGAATAACTTATAGAATGTTAACAGAATGAAGTCCGTTCCCTGGAGGGAAGTCTCTGTGGCCCTGACCTGCTGACACTGTTAACAGTAATGAGATCAAAGAAGGAATATTTAACATCCTTGCAGAGGACTCAACCTGGAAATAGCTAATTAGGTAAAATTTTTTAAAGCGTCTTCTTTTAAGAACTTCATTTTGATATAATGTCATACTTAGAAAATAGTTGCAAGAATAAGAGTAGTGTATCCTTTACCCAGGTGCTCCAATGGTTTATGTATTATCCTATTTATTACTTGCTTTATACACATATATTTCTTTTTGAACCATTTGGGACAATTTGAGAAAAGCACCCTTTTTATCTTAAGTACTTCAGTGTGCATATCCTAAGAATAATGAGAACTTTCTCTTCCATAAGCGCATTATAAAGCAGGAACTAGAGCAGTGATACTAGGATCTGGCCCACAGCTCATATTCACATTTTGTACATCACACTTCACTGGTCTTACTTCATCTGAAACAATTCCTCAGTCTTTGCCTTTCCTAACCTTAACATTTTGAAGAATAAATTAGCTATCTTGCAGAGTATCCCTCAACTTGGGTTTGTCTGGCATCTCCTTTATGATTAGATTCAGGATACACATTTTTGGCAGGGAATTCACAGAAGTGTTGCTCTGCCCCATACACATCACAGTCGCAGCATGTGATGCTGGTTTGTCTTTAAGGTTATAATCTCTCCACTTTGGAGTTACTACTTTTATTTTTGTAGTTAATTTTTGGAGAAATACTTTAAGTCTCTAAAATATCCTATTCCCCGTATAATTATTACTCATGAGTTTTAGCCTGGATTGACCATTTTTGCTGAATCAATTACTGTGATGGCTACGAAATGGTGAGTGATTTTCTCACTCTGATAGCTTCCTACACATTTACTGTTGGCATTCTGTTGTTAAGGAGCTTTCTTTTCTCTTACATTAAAATGTTTTGTTCATTTAGTATGGATGCATAGATTCTTATCCTGTGAATAGTTATCAGTTATTTTGATACTCAGATTGTACCACATTTGGCCAATCTGAGTTCCTTCAAGCTAGCTCCTGTATCCCTGTCTTTTTAAGGATGCTTCCTTAGTTTCTGGCACAAGATACTCTAGCCGCCTTGTACTTTCCTGCTCTGGCCTTGGAGTCAGCCTTTTATCCAAGGAGCCTGGGTGGATGACGTGACTGATGGGCCCAGACCAAGAAGTGAAATACTGTTCTGACAATCAAGACAGACAGCATCTCTGGCCGAAGCCAGGCAGGAACTGGTTTCTAAGCAGGGGTGACAGGTGTGAGTCACTCAGACTGCACTGGAAGGTCATGTTAGGCTCGACTCCATTTAAAAGGGTGATCACAGTGAATGGGCCCAGCGCAGTGGCCATAACTGCACCCTGTGAAGTTCTGGACAGGACGGGAGAAAGAACTAGCGGAATGAAGATGTTCCTACTGGGAGACTACTCAGGCTTGGAATAAGCCCAGCAGGCCCCAGGTGAGTCCACCATGAGGACTGTTCAGGGAAGAGAAGGAAGGAGAGGGAAGAAGGTGGGCCCGGGCATGTTGCCGGACAGGTGTCCGCTCTTGTGCTGCTCCAAGACCCAACTCTGGCTCTTGTCTGGTCTGGCCACAGCGTGCCCACCATTCACTACAGCCAGGCCCGCCTCTGGCTACAGGGGGCAGTGGCCTCAACAGGACTGGGAGGCCTCGGTGATGAAGCTGTATTGGGTTTTCTAAAGTATAGTTGATCTACAGGGTTTTAGGTGTACAGCAGAGTGATTCAGTTATACATATATATCTAAATCTAGCTATCTGTTTTTCTGATTCTTCTGTTATAGGCTATTCAAGATATTGAATACTGTTTCCTGTGCTGTTCAGTAGGTCCTGTTGTTTATTTTATATGCCATAGTGTGTATCTGTTATTCCAAAATTCCTCATTTCCCCCCTCCCCCCATATTGGCCTTTTTTGTGCTTATACACTCCCATCAGCAGGCATCAGTATTCGGCCTGACTGGCCAGCAGGGAAGGCTAGGGAGGCCGCAGTGTAAGCTGCTTGGGTGGGGAACAGCCAAGACCTGTGAGGTCCACACAAGGGTTAAACCTTCACCTGTGGCAAGGCACCCTCGGGAGGGGGCTTAGCTGCTGCAGAGAAGCAAGCACCCCCAGGAAAGCTCAGCTTGCTTAGAGAGCCCTACCTTCTGACCCATGATTTCTGCACATAAGAGCTGGGACATACCTCCTGAGGTGAAAGACAGGACTGCTAAACTCTGTGTCTTCCTTGAGCTTTCCAAGACCCGCCCAGGCCACTGGAGTGGATCTAGAAAAATGACCAGATGGTGAGGAGACAGCCTGCAAACTGGCATGCATGAACTGAGGGCAGGATAAAGTGGACCTGAGGGGGATAAACATGCTGTCCATAAACTTCTCGAGAGTTGCCACAGAGGGAAGAGAGATCCCTTTGGGTGCTCCAGAAGGTAAAAGTAAAGATACTGGGAATGGGGTCGGGCTTGTTTCCTTGTCCATCTATCTATGTGTCCAGCGCTTAGGGAGTTTGCTTGGAGTTGGGTTGCAGGGCATGACCACACAGCTTGAGAGGGGGAATCATACATATCCGCAGAGTCTTTGAATGCAGAGGATTCAGTGTTACCATGGGGAAAACGTGGGCGGTTAGGAGAGCCTGGAGGAGGGGCAGGTAACTAGGAGATCAGACATGTAACTAGCATTTGAAGGGGTCAGGGAATGATGATGAAGTAAGGGTGTGGGTAGGATTTAGCCAGGGTGATAGATTTTGGCTTATATAAGGAAAAATACCCAGATAGAATGGGTTCTCTCGGGCAGGTCTGGCCTGTGTGGGAGAGCAAGCCATGCCCTTAACCAATGCTAGCTACTCGGAGCAGTCTCCTTCCAGACGCTTCCCCAGCCACGGAAGAGCCAAGATAGGATGGGTGGCTGGTGTTCCGCTTATGCCTCCAGATGACTTGGCAGAACATGGGTGTTGTCTGTGTGTGTGTCCTGGTTGTTCCTGTTATGGAAGCCCTAGGTTAACAGCCTTCCTCACACCTCTTCTGCATACAGCCTCTTAATACTTGGTAGGGAAGTTGGGAACCTACTGAGCCTTAACAGGCATCACCACTCAGAACACAGTTCCCTCCGGGGAGAGCAATCAAGATGGTGAAGTAGTACGATGGGAAGCTCACCTCCTCCCACAAATACATCACAGTATATCCACATGTGGGATGGTTCTCACCAAACATCTATTGAGCCCTGGCAGAAGACCTCAGACCCCTGAAAGAGTGAGAAAATCTCCACATAACTGGGTAGGATGAAAGAAAAAAAGGGGGAGGGGAAGGAATCCAGATGGGACCTGTGCTCTTGGAAGGAAGCTGTGAGAGAGGAAAGGTTCCCGCACCCTGAAGGCCCTTCATCAGCAGAGATCAGCCAGGATATAAGGGAGCTTCAGGGCCTCGGAGGAGACCACAGCCATAAGTCAGCAGCTGCTGGAACCGACAGAGACCCGTACAGACAGACAGTGCCATGGCTGTGCACCCCCCAGCCTGACAGGTGTCCACTGGCGTGCATGTCCACAGCCCAGGGGCCGGGTGCAGAAGCTTGGGCTTCGGAGATCAGACTCCACGAGAGGACTGAGGTGAACTTTGTGGAAACGGCCTGAAGGGGTTGGGGTCTGGTGGCACTGCACCTGAGGGCGTACTCGGAGGACGCCTGGGCCACCTTCGAGGGCAGGCACCATTGTGTGGGCAGTGCGTGAGGGGAGGGGCGAAACCCACTGTTACAGCCTTTATCACTGCATCAGCTCTCAGGCAGCAAGATACCATCTAAAACAGGATCTGTCACAAACTTTGAAAGCTGCTGCCCCCTTGGATGCAGGAGTCATCTCTAGCTGCTGACTTCGGCCCTTCTGGGCTCCAGGAGACATTTCTCCAAAGAAGAAATGGCCAATAGGCATGTGAAAAGATGCTCAACATTGCTAATTACTAGGGAAATAGATTAAAGCTATGAGGTACTACCTCACACTGGTCAGTATTCTATTCCTCATAAAACTTAAAAACAATTACCATATGACCCAGCAGTCCCATTCCTGGGCAAATATCCAGACAAAACTAATCCAAAAAGATACACGCACCCCTTTGTTCACAGCAGCACGATTCACGATAGCCAAGACATGCAAACAGCCTGAATGTCCAGTGACAGATGAGTGGGTAAAGATGTGCATATATACAATGGAATACTATTCAGCCATCAAAGAGAACAAAACGATGCCATTTGCAGCAACATGAATGGACCTTGAGATTATAAAGTGAAGTCAGAGAATGACAAATACCCTAAGACATCACTTACACGTGTAATTTAAAATATGACAAACGAAGGCTGTAGGTCCCTCAGTTTTATCCAACTCTTTTCAACCCCACGGGCTGTAGCCCACCAGGTTCCTGGGTCCATGGAATTCTCCAGACAAGAGTAATGGAGTGGTTAGACATTCCCTTCTCCAGGGGATCTTCCCGACCCAGGGACTGAACCTGGGTCTCCTGCATCACAGGTGGATTCTTTACCCTCTGAGCCACCAGGGAAGCACCTTATGAGAAACCGAAGCCACCTACAAAACAGAAACAGACTCGTGGACATAAACTCAACCATAAAAAATGAAATTTTGCCATTTGTAACAAGGATGAATTTGGAGGATACCATGATTAATGAAATAAGTCAGAGAAAGACAAAGGTATGATAGTACTTATATGTGGAACCTAAAAAGTAAACTAGTGAGTATAACAGCAAACATACTCTTAGATCTAGAGAATAAATTGGTGGGTTACCAGTGGGAGGTGGTGAAGGACAAGGAAGCCTGGTGTGCCGCAGTCCATGGGGTCACAAAGAGTCTGACATGACTGAGCGACTGAACAAGTGGGAGAGGTAAAGGGTAGGAGTTTAAGAGGTGCCAACTACTGTTAATAAACTACAAGGAGGATAAACTACAGGATCGTGTAGAGCACAGGGAATACAGCTGATAATTCTATAAGTGAAGTATAACCTTTAAAAATTATGAACCACTATGTTGTACACCTGAAACATACATCCACTATACCTCAGTTAAAAATATTTAAGAAATAAAAAAATAAAAACAAATATTTAAGAGAAAAATTCTAAAACTATCCTAAAAAATAAGTCTTTTAATTAAAAGAGCACTTAAAACACTAAGTACTAGCTTTCTACCCAAGTGACGTGTAGATGCTAAATGAGTAAAGCTGAAGAAGACGTGGTCATGGATCTGAAATCCCTTTGCAGACCATCAGGTCATCCACACCAGGGACCTCCCTGTTGCTCTTCAGAAAGCCCATGGGGCAGGCAGGCCTGCACCACGGTCCCTGACCTGTGAGGACACAGACCTTAAAACCTGGGATCCTGCGGGAACAAGCCGAATGGACAAGATGGCCCTGGGTCTCCTGCCTCCTTCAGTGGAAGCTGTGGTACCACCTCTGGGAGGCAGAGAGGTGATGGGCCTGCATCCAGCAGTCAGGACCCCCAGTAGATACCCAGGCCAAGGAAAGGACCCCCCCCAAAGCACCTCTTAAAATATAGAACTTTATTTTGGTTGCTGAGATTTTCATAAGCACTTGGTTCACAGAAAAGTCATTTGTTACAAAATAATAAAAGGCAGCATTTTGTACAGCGACTCACAACGGGGCCATAGGTTGAGTGCAAAGAGCAGTGCTGGGGAACGGAGGGACCCGCGCTCTTGTGCCCCACGTCCTCAGGGAGGAGACCGAGCCCCTGGTCCCCCCAGCCACGCCCTACCCCACCCGGAGAACAGCGCCAGGGGCCTGGCAGAACCTCCCTGGGACGCCAGCTGCGGGCGCACAACCACGACCTCAGCCGGCTGGCGAGGCGCGCGTGAAGGGCCAGGCTGGCGGGGCGCTGTTCAGGCTGAGCCGAGCCTGCGTCAGGCCCCCTTCCTTGAATAGTGGGTCTGAGGCCGCCTGGCTCTGGAACCTTCACAGTCACAGCTGAGCTTAGCAAAGCCTTCCGCCCTTTCCTCAGGCTACTAAGCCTCCCCGTACCCTGGGCGGGGACTCAGGCGGTGACCTTCGTGGAGCTTACAGGTGAGTCAGTGGACAGGGATGGACCTGGGTAATCTCTAAGCAAGACAGAGCGTACTCTGTGGGGGCAGAGACGGGGCAGAGCGCGGAGCGCTGCCATCCGCATGGTACTGAGCCTGGAAGAACGGGTGGGGCCTGGGCGCGCACAGCTGGCGAGGAGGGCGCGCCCGGAGGCGAGGAGAGCGGGAACCAAGGCACAGAGTGGGGACCGCAGTAGGGTCTGTGAAGGCAGGTGGCCAGTCACCCACGAGCATGTGGACACGGACAGGGCCCCGAGCACCCCCATCTCCACCCGTCTGGCGCCAGCGGGGGCGGCTGGTCTGGGCGTGCTGGCGGGGTTCGGATCCTCCCCACGCCGCAGGCCCCGAGTCAGCCACGTCCTCCCGAGTCTGGGGCAGCTGGAGGGGGCGCAGTCAGGTGAGTCTTTGCGCGGCCCAGCCCTCACCTGCACACCTAGCCACTCGGGGGGAGTCTTCTCCACACGCCCCTCCTGCCTCCCCGGGTGTCCCGGGGGCAGCCTGCCAAGAGAGGCGCCTTACCTCAAGTCCCTCCCCCCTCAGAGGTCCACGTCCAACTGCGTCCTGAGGAGACCAGAGCTCCAGCACCCCCTGCAGCAGGGTGGCTGTGGCAGTGTCCGCGGAGAGTCAAAGGGAGCTCTGGGAGGGGACGACTCGGGCTCTTTCCCTCTCACTGGAGCCACTTCTGTCCCTTAAAAGTAAACTCGTCCTTCCCTGAGAAGATTCTGGGTTTGGTGCGTATAGCTCCCTGTAACTCAAACAGAAAACCCTGGCCAAGGTTTCAGAATCAGTTTCCCCAACTCTTCATCATCTCTACAAGAGCTCGAGGGACTAGAAACCCACCAACTTCTGTTCCCTTTTTCTCCTTGAAAAATAATTCCATGGTTGGGGAACTAAGATCCTGCAAGCAGCACGCACGGCACAGCCAAGAACACCAACCAGCCAAACCAACACAAAATCCAAGCTCCTTCCTGCTGAGGGCTGTGGAGCCAAAGGGCTTGGGAGGTACCTAGTTCTCAGTCCCCAGAGGACTCGAGAGCCTGCCTTTCAGGGAGGAGATAAGGTGAGCAGGAGCCTCCACAAGCACTACTTCTTCCATCCTTGAAGGCTGCGACCTCAGCTCGGCCCGGCAGGGCCTGAGCCTGACAGCAGGGTATGTGCCTGCTTCCTGGGGTCTTCGGACGCCCCCAGCTGCCTCCTCCCGCAGCTCTCCATTCTTACAGGATGGTGCAGAAGATGCTGCGTTTGCTGTGGTAACCACCTTCCACGTGGGCTGTGATCCTGGTCGCCATGGCTGTCACCTTCTGCCCACCATGGGCAGCAGAGGGGCCCCGGAGAGAGTTTTCAAGGTGAGGCCGTGCTGGTGGGTTCACCAGGCGCCACGTATCAGACCTGAAGGGGCAAAATGAGAATGCACTCTTTGAGGGTCTAGAGCATTTGCTGAATGCCCTGCACAACCTTACCTTTGGCTCAAGATCCAGGTGTTTAAATTGGGGTATAGGTTGTGTCTCCCTAGTTAAGTGATAGCAAAAGGGGGTGGCACACGCCTGCAGCTAAATCTGGTTCCAGCACTGCCTTCAGTTCTGATGCAACCCTGGACATGTTCCCTCTCGTCCTCTATTCCTCCATCTTTAAACAAGGATCTAGATAAGACCAGTGACTTTCTCTTTTTTCTTTCATTCCCCCAGGCCCCATTTTTCCCCCATTATGTACAACCATGAATGTCATGCAAGCTTTAGTCAGTCATTTACTTTGAGTTTTTGGCCGTACCCTGCAGCATGTGGGGGCCTTAGTTCCCTGACCAGGGTCTGAATCCGCACCCCCAGTGTTGGAAGGCGGACTCTTAACCACTGAACCGCCGGAGATGTCCCATACAAGCTTTATTAATCATCAGCAAAAATTAGAAACTACCTAAATATTCCTCAGCTGATGAACAGATGAACCAAGTGGTGTGTCCATTCTGCGGCAAAAAGAATGAATGACATGCGACACCACAGGGGAATCCGGGATACACTGGGCCAAGTCTAAGAAGCTAGGCTCGAAAGACGACACACTATTATTTCTTTAGATGACACTCTGGAAAATGCAAATCTACGGAGGGCAGAAACTGATGGGTTTCCAATCTCTTAAGCTTTTGTGGAGGTTATGAAGGGTTAGGGAAAATCAAATGATAATGATGGTTTGATCAGGACTTTCTGACCTAAGTTACAAGGAATTACCTCTAATACATATCAAATCCTAAACTGCTTAAACCAGCAACACTGTCTTGTATTTTTAATGACAGTATTACAAGTAGGGCTGGCAAGGTGTGGGCAGTGTCAGGCTGGCTACCGTGGGGTGAGTAAAAGCCCAGGAGTATTTGTTCAAGGGGCAGCAGCGGCCACAGCAATAAACACTCACGTGATACCTCAGATATGCTACAAGGTCACAGGACCTTATTTTATCTTAAGTTGGTGCTATGGACATTATTAAGTGGATTTTACTAAGGTTCAGAGATGCTGAGTAAATTGCCCAAGGGCACATAGCCAGTAACTGGCAGAGGTGAGATTTGAAACCACATTCCCCTGACTCTTCGAAAGCTTATTCCCTCCTAGGGAGTCAGGCTCAGGTTCTCTACCCAGGCCCAACACAAAGGCCAAGCACAGGCCTCTATCTGCCCAGAGCCGAAAGCTGGCAGGACTCGGGAGCGAGGGTTGCCACAGTCACTGGGCCTGGCTGCCCCAGCGACCTGGCTGTGGCTCTGGAAGATTGGTTCAGGCACCGTGCGCACTTACTTCTTGAAGACCAAGACCCTGTTGTTCTGTATAGCGCATTCTTGGCTGCTCGAGCTCTGCTGGGAGATGGTCTTGCTGGCCTTGCCCTGGAAGATGGTGTTCTCTTGCACCAGGGCCTTGGCGTGGCCCTGCACTGTAATGCCGGAGGCCCGGGATGAATGGATTCGGTTCTTTATTACCTGGGGGAGGCAGCCAGAGCTTGTCACACCTCGGGGACTGGTGCGGAGCCAGGTGACTGAATCACCAATTATAAAACCGAGCGAGGGGTACAAGCACGCTGGGTGGGTCAGCAATGAGCCGGGGGAGCTCATGGAAAGGCTGTCAGGCCAGCCAGAGAACCAGAGGCGCTTCCTGGGAAAAGTGCTGGCTAAGCTGTGGGAGTTTCTCAAGCACAGAGCAGGGGAGAGTTGTTCCAGGAAGAAGGAACAATGTGAAAAGGGCCCTCAGACTGAGGGGCTGGTGCCAGAAGCAAGGGCCATTGATGACCCAGCTGAGGCGACAGTGAGCCCCCCTCTGCCTTCCCAGGGCTTGGATGCAGAGCCAAGTTCTTTACTCCTTGCCAACGTCAGGGACTCACGAAGCCACAAAGCCAGAAAGAGGCTCTGGGACCGTAATTTCACAAGGGCAGGGACTGGGTCTGCTTGGCTCAACAGTGAAACCCTAGCACCCAACCCAGTGCTTTGCATAAAAGTGGAGCTCGGAGCTCAAGGTCCTGTGCGGAAGAAAACCAGGTGAAGGGAGAGACAGCACTGAGGGAAGTGTCCTGTGAGGCACGGGTGGGCACAATCCGTAGAAGTAAAAAAGGGGCACCTCCCACAGCCCGCGGGATCAGGGAGGGCTTCCAGAAGACAGTGACAGCCAACAGGGACAAGGCTACTCTGGGTAACGGGACAGTGTTGCAACACCCCAGGGCAAGACTTCTCATTAAGCACCCACTGCAATCCGGGTCCTGAGTGAGATTATTCCTCTAGGAGAAGAAAGCTGAAATAGCCCTGATCTTGACCTGAAGACTGTGAAGATACCTCAGAGGGCACCCCCCAAGCTTCCTGCCAGTACCCCTCCTGTGTGAAGTGCCCCTGTATCTTGCAGGCAGGGTTTAGGTGGCACCCTTGCAGAGTGCTGAGGGTTTGTGGTTCTGTTTCACAGCAGAGACGGCAGCTCCCCTAGGACTGGCGTAGGCATGCACATCTCACGCACACACACGGCTCTCCTAGGACTGGTGTAGGCACGCATGTCACACACACACACACACACACCTTTGTGTCAGACGTGGGCAGCAGCTGCAGCCCACTGCCCCGGTTGCCAATGATGTCATTTTCCATGACGGTGCTGTCACCCTTGGTGATGATGCCATGGCCTCTGTTGTCATAGATACCATTGCCCCGGAGCTCCACCTTGCACTGGGCCTCGATCTTGACCCCACTCTGGCGGTTGCAGGAGATGCTGTTGTTGGCCACACGGGTGAGCTGACTGCTCTGGGCCACAGTGATGCCTCTGACTCTGTTGGCGTGGATCACGTTGGTTACAATGTGCAGTGCCTCAGTGCTCTGGATGTAGAGTCCGGAGGCTGTGGGGGGGAGAGGAAGCACAGGGTGGCCCCAGGGTCACTGCGAACTAGACCAGGAGGAAAAGCCTTCCCAGAACTGTGCAACCAGGAGAGGAGGTGGGGAGGACAGGGAGAACCAGCCCTAGGGACTTGCATCTTCCAAGCTGGATGACAGAGCAGGAGGGAACGTAGGACCAGCAAGGAAGCTCTGCTCCTTCTGAGCCAAGTGCCCAGTGAGGGGGAGGGAGACGTGTTGTGAAGAGGCGCCTAAGACTCAGCGGGTCCTCCGGCCCAGGCGCTCATCCTGCGCTGGAGTGCCTCCTACAGTCGCCTCCCCTTACCGCCGGCTGTGCCTCCTGGGACGGGGCTCTCACTACCTGATCAAGGCTGCCCATCCCGCCTCTGGACAGACAGACTCACCCGAGCGCAAGTTCTGTGGCTTTTGTTCTGCTTCCCATTCTGAGCTAGAATCTGCCTCCCTATTTGGGGAAATTTTCTTATTTCTTAAAAATTAAGAAATTTCTTACAGATGCCATAGGGGGGAAAAAAGCACAAGATCAGCAGGCTGAGAACCGCAGCACGCAGTCAGGAAGAGGCAGCATGGCAGGCAGACTTGGGGTGAGCAGGACTCCCAGTGGTGATATCCACTGCACCCCCCCAGGAGCAGGAGGCTTGGGCAGCAGGGGGAGGAGGCTGAGGGAGGATGATGACCATGGGTTCTTGTGGGAGCAGTCTGGGTTGTAAGCCCTGCAGGTCTGAATTTTTTGGTGGCACCTGCCTGTTGCTTATCTTGGCTTGGTTGAGAACCGCAAAAACAAGTGTTTTGAATTTACGTGGCTTTGCTTGTCGAACTGGACAGCGTGGCCACAGGAAGGAAGCCCTGAACTGGGAGGGAACAGAACTCATTTTCCAGGTAAGTAAGTGGGCTGGGCCCACTGGCTCCCCACCTCCCTGCCTCGGCCACTCCCAGGGTGATGAGCTTACTCAGGGCCCAGGGGCCTCTCTTTAACAAGCCTTCCTCCACCATTCCCCAGAGTGGTTCTCATAATCAGCCAGGTGTGGGAGCTGTAGAGTTGGATGAATTCCACAATAATTTTTTTTTTCCCATTCAATAAACATCAAACACCTACTATCCATTTTTATGAAGTTTAAGATAACATGGATTTTAGATATTCTTTTCTATATCTCTAAGAAAGAAAAAAAAAAATTGAAGTTGCTCAGTTGTGTCTGACTCTTTGCGATCCCATGGACTATAGCCTACCAGGCTCCTCTGTCCATGGGATTTTCCAGGCAAGAATACTGGAGTGGGTTGCCATTTCCTTCTCCAGGAGATCTTCCTGACCCAGGGACTTAACCCGGGTCTCCCACATTGTAGGCAGATGCTTTACCGTCTAAGCCACCAGGGAAATGTAAGAAAGAAAAATCACTGCCCATCAAACCATGACATGCCATCAACTGTAAGATGCATCTCATCAGAGGTGTGAAAAAATATGAAAAATGTGTCTCAGAGTTCACTGAAATGCATATGCCAGGTGTGGGACTGGTGCCAAGGGGCAGGGCGCACCAACGAGAGTGGGATGCAGTTCCTCGCCTCCAGTTCACTGCCTGTCAGAATTGATGAAGCAGCCACAGAAACGAATGCAGTCTCAGCCCCCCTAACAAGCGCCGGTGGGGCTGGGGGAGGGTCCAGCTGGAAGGAGGGACGCACAGCGGGTGAGGGCTCTGAGGTCCGAGTTGTTTCGGACGTGTGGGTGGGAGAAAGGGAACTTCGGCCAAGAGAAGGGCGAGGGTGGTAGTGGGAGAAGAGGACAATGGATGGACGTCCAGGGGGTGGGGGCACCAGGCGAGTGGCTAAGAAGTGGCCGGTGCGGCTGGAGGGTCTCGGGGCAGGCCCGGCATGGGAGGGGTGCTCACCTCCGTTGTGGTTGACACTGTTGGACTCGACCAGAGCTATGGTGATGGGCCGGCGCAGTGGGTCGTCCTTCTCCAGCTCTGTCTCCCACAGGACGGCATCCCCGTCCTCGCTGAAGTTCTCCTGGGCCCCGTGGCCTCCAGGGAATTCTCCGGAGCCCTCCTTCTGGCTGAACACCGCCACGCCGTACAGCCCATTGTAGCTGACGTGGTTGCGGGTGACGTGGGGCAGGCTGGACGCCATCATCCACACACCACAGCCCTTATTCGCTGCAACAGTGAAAGGCGCTGGTCACTAATGCTGCCGACAGGCGAGGCAGCACCCGCTATCTCCCCAGGCGGGGAAGCAAAAGGGCACTGGTCTGGAGACTGGGCCACTGGCTGGTAAATGGCCTCGAACGCGTCACTTTCGGGCTTGGCTGCTGCAGGCTTCTCCTTCATACAAGGGGTAGTAACCGTCAGGTTCATCTCACAACTGCCGTCACTCCGTGGGGTGTAAGAGTGCTCTGGGAACTGCTAAGGCCCCGGTTCCAGATGGGAAACACATGAGCCCATGGTGACAAGTGCCCAGGGGCCCTTAGAACTCATCCAGCCCAATCACGCCCAGCACAGAAATGCAGGGTTTGAGTCCCAGCCCTACCACTCCCTACCTGTGTGACCTTGAGCAGGTCACTGAACTCTGTGCCTCAGTTCCCTCATCTAACATGGCTGACTGACTGCGCCAACCTCAGAAGGGGTCCTGAGGATTAAATGAGAACGCACAGAAAAGGCCTAGTAAGAGTCCAGGACCGGAATGTAGGTTCGCTATATTATTATTAGAGACGCAGTCCAGAAAGGCAGGTGTGGCCCGGTCACAGAATGAATGAGAACCGTTTTCTTTCAATGATTACCCTATTTCTCCATTATATTTTTAGTTCTCTGAATCAAAAGAAAGAGTAAGAGGGGTTAGATGCTCTTGCATCAGAAATTAGATGGCCCTGTCCTTACACAAGATCCACTCCTGCCCTTGACTGTTGTAAGTGGGGACTAAAGCTCTCTGCTTTGCTGACCCCATGGGGTCCCCCTGGATTAGAAGGTGATTTATGAAAGGCTCATGCCTTCTGAGAGGGGCTGGGACCTGAGATAGAGGCTGGTCTTTAAGAGGAGGTACTGGAGGCCCAGGGAAAGGCAGTGACTCTCAGTACCCACCAGCGGGAGATGGAGCCTGGGCTGCACTGGCCCCCAAACCTGACCCCAAGGAGGGCGGCTCTCACCGTAGATGGTGTTTCCCTCCAGCAGGCCTTTGCCTTCATCCCCCACAACCACACCGTCCGAGTAGCCAAAGCAGATGAGGTTGCTCCTGAGGATGGGGACCCCTCCTCGGCGGACGTCCACGCCTCCCCACTGATTCTCCCGGATGACGTTTTCTATGGAAAGAGGTGGAGAAGAGGGTCACAGGCCACCTACAGCGCTGGCATGAGGCCTTGACCCGCTGCCAGAAAACAAGTCCGGACAAGGACGCGGAGGCCTGCCCGCCAGGAGTCAGCACCCAGAATCTTGCCTGCTGTGTGACGTTCCAAGCACTTGTCTGCTGTCTGCTTTCCCCAAGGGCAAGGTCTGTGTCTGCCTCGTGGTTTCCTGTATCCCCTGAACCCACCGTATCCAGCGGCCTGGGGGACTGATAACTAAGCACAGGCTGGCTTTGGAGTCCCCGGACCAGGGCCAGGCAGGGCCGTCTGCCCTGGGGGACTGTCCTCGGGAGCACTGACGCAGAATCCAGCCGCTCCTCACAGGCCTGGGGAGGTGCGAGCCTGTCGTCCTCAGCCTGCTCTGGACTGACCACAGCCCTCCTCTCCCCTCCACCACGTCTCTGGGAGGGGGCGGGCTGGAGGGCCCCCAGTGAGAAGGGGTGTCCTGGGACACGGCTGCCGCAGCACCAGGAGGGGGCGGACTCTCGGCCTCTTGTGACAGGACTGCAATGGTTCAGGAGACCCTGTGTGACCAGCTCCTGCCGGCCTCCCATCTCATACTCCTCGCCCCTTGCTCACCGCACTGCAGTCAAATGAGCAACCTCTGTGCTCCTCAGGCCTGCCAAGTCTGTTCCCGCAGGTGGCCCCGTGTGGAATCCTGGTTCTTTCCTGAGTTCCTTCCCATCCTCCAGCTTCTAGTTTACATGTCACTTTTTTGGAAGGCCTGAACTGACCACACAATCCTAAATACCCACACAGTTTTGTCTATCACCTTATTTTAATTATCTGTAGACCCCCTGGCAGCCAAATGGTTAGGACTTGGTGCTTCCACTGCCAGGGCCAGAGTTCCATCCCTGATTGGGGAACTAGGATCCTGAAGCTGTGTGGTGTGGTCAAAAAACAAAAATATGTATTGCCCTCAGAGATGACTCTTCTTGAAAAAAAAAAAATCCATGCTTTTGTTATTTTCCCTGCCTAAAATGTCAGTTCCTGACAGCAGAGATCTGTTTTCCTCACTGCCGTATCCCCAGCTCCTGCATACACTGTGTGCTCAAAAAATGTCTGTCCAGTGAAGAAAGGCAGGATTCAGTCAAGAGGAGTTACTGGCCCAATATTTACTGGATCTCGTCAATGTTCTAGGTATGGCTATGCTCTGTGCTGAGGCTACACTGACGTACCAGATGGACATGATCCTTGCCTCACAGAACACGGCAAAGGAGGCTGTCATTAAATGGATCCTAAGAAGTTAAGTACAGTGTCCTACAGAGTAGGCCTTCTTGGTGGACTAAGTGCGTGGATGTATAAGGGGAGGTCAGGGCAGCCTTCCCCCGGGAAGAGACAATTGGGCTGAGGCTCAGAGAATGACAGGAGTTGGCCAGGCAGAGGGGGAATGGGGATGGATTGCCAGAGCAGGAACAAACCGACAGAGCCCAGAGAAGGGGTCAGTTCGTGTGGTGTGAATATTTCTGACAGTGTTCTGTGAGCCACCCGCTCAGATCCTATAAGCGCCAGGCCTGGCAAAGGATGGACGTGACCTCCCTGCGTGGTGGGCACGGCCAGGGTGTGGAGCCCGCATCCCTGAGCGCTGGTCACCATCAGGAGGCCAGTCTGCAGGGGAAGGACGGGGCGGGTGGGAAGCTGCGGACACTGGCTGGGTCGTGGCGGCCTGGGCGGCCACAGCTCCAGGCCGTCTCATGCCGACCTGTGATGAGGCCTCTGCCACTCTCGCTCACGGCGATGCCGGCCGCGTGGCCCTTGAAGATGTGGTTCCGGCTAGAATGAAAGGAGAAGACAAAAGGTGAGGCTAGACCAACATCATGCATCAAAGACAACGCCCATCCAAGGCGCCTCCCCTTCTTCGTGGGCTTCCCAGATGGTTCAGGTCCACTGGGATATGGAGCACCTCTTTGAGGCCCAGAAGCCAGGCAGAAAGCAATCGTCAGTTACCACTGCCCCCAAACCATCTGCAACTATGCCACAGAAACAGATATACCCGTCTCTGCAGCCTCTCTGGACTGTCAGCCACACTCAAGCACCATTTTATTTGTATTATCGTTGTTGTACAGTCTTATATGATTTGAAGGTGTACAACACAGTGATTCACAATTTTTAAAGGTTATACTCCATTTACAGATATTATAAAATATTGACTATATTCCTGATGTTGTACAATATATCCTTGTAGCTTATTCTATACATAATACTTTATACCTTTTATACCTCTTAATCACCTACCCCTATATTGCCCCTCTCTGCTTCCCTCTCCCTACTGGTGACCACTAGTTTGTTCTCTATATCTGACTCTGCTTTTTCATTATACTCACTAGTCTGTTGTATTTTTTAGACTCCACGTATAAGCGACATCATACAGTATTTCTTTCACTGACTTATCTCACTTGGCATAATGGAAGCTCTAAGAAAGTGAGCTCCTGACTCCAGAGACACACATGGCCCTACTGCCATGGAAAGTGCTCGAGAATGAGTTCCTTAGAGGAAGACACCTGAGTGTGTTAAAGGACTTGCATTGCTCCAGTCTCTCAACTCTGGTTTCCTGCCTGTAACTACAGAGCCACTCAGACACTGGCAGAAGTGGGTTATTTCTGGAGGATACACATTTGCTGTTTGGTATTTCTACTAACAGGAATACTGTGAGCTCCTTCTATACTGGAGGAGGACCTGCCCCCTCTCTGAGGAGGTGCCTTCCTACTTCCGACCATGCAGCTGAGGGATTTAGATCCAAATATACAGCGAGCTGTTCAGAACCTGACACAGGGCCTGGCTCCTCTCACAGAACCTCACTGATCATGAGTTGGCTGCTAAGTCTTCCCAACTGCAGGGCAGGGTCCAAAGGGTTTACTACATGTTATTATTGTTTACTTGCTGAGTTGTGTCTGACTCTTGTGACCCCATAGACTGTGGCCTGCCAGGCTCCTTTGTCCAGGGATTTCCCAGGCAAGAATACTGGAGTGGGTTGCCATTTCCTTCTCCGGGGGAATCTTCTTGACCCACAGACTGAACCCACATCTCCTGCTTGGCAGACAGACTCTTTACCACTGAGCCACCACCAGGGAAGCCCTTACTTCCTTGTGGGGAAGCCAAATGCCAACTGTGCCTACTTTAGGCATTTGGAGTTGAATAAGTGAAACTCTCTGTAAAAAAACATCCTTATGTTTTTACTCAGATATGAAGCAACTGCTTTGATGTGATTATAATTCAGTCAACTGATGGTTACCCTGGGCTTCTAGAATTCAGGGTCAGATGCAGTCCCTGGGCTCAGGCAAACCTCATTCTGTGAGCTGCGTCACAGAAGCAAATGCATGAGTGTTATACTTTTAACACAAATCTCACTTACTTTCAGAAAGAATCCATGGCCACTTGGAGAAACATGTATGTGTGTGTACACAGGGTAGGCAGAACAAAGATAAAAGAGACATCAGAAAACAAGAGGAAAAGGGGACAGAGCATTGTTCCAAGAACCAAGGGTGGGATAGTAACACAGTTTGAGTCCTATGCTTCCTTGCAGCCAAGGCAGAAAAAACAAAAAACAAAAAAACCCTATAGGTTATGTAACTCTTACCAGCAAAAAAATATGCTCAATGGCTTGCCTTAGTGAGGTCACATCAGGGACCTTGAAATTCAGGCACCTCTCACAAATCCCTGTCCTCCATCACAAAGAAACATAAAGGAAAAAAGCACAACCTAATTCTCTCAAAGCAACTGTTTTATTCAAAAAATACTTTTTATTGAAGCATATTTGATTTATAATGTTGTGCCAATCTCTGCTGTACAGTAAAGTGACTTATTATACACATACAGACATTCTTTTCCTATTCCCTTCCATGATAGTTTATCACAGGATATTGAATATAGTTCCCTGTGCTGTATAGTAGGACCTTGTTGTTTATTCATCCTGTACATAGTAGTTTACATCTCAACCCAGAATTTTTTGGGGGGTGGAGGCTTTTGGCTTGTGGGATCTTTGTTCCCCAACCAGGGGGAACAAAGGCCTTCAGCAGTAAGAGCATGGAGTCCTAACCACTGGATCACCAGAGAATTCCCTCAAAGTGACTGTTTTAAAAAGCCAAAAATAAAATAAAATAACAGCAACAACAACAGCAAAGCCAAGACACTGATCTGGTTGTAATATTCCTTGCTCGAAACCCTTCAACAACTCCCTGGCATCCACACGGTTTGGGTATATGGCTGCGGTAAGTAATTACCACAAACTTAGTGGTTTAGAACAACACGAATTTATTGTCTTCCAGTTTAGGAAGTCAGAAGTGCAAAATGGGTCTGACAGGGCTAAATCAAGGTGCCAGTAGACCTGCCTTTTTTCTGGAGACTCAGAAAGGATCTGTTTCTGACCTTTCCAGCTCCTAGAGGCGGCCCAGGCTTCCTGGCCTGTGGCCTCATCCCTCTGGCCTGGCCTCTGTTGACACACTTCCTTCTCTGACTCCCTGCTTACCTCTTCTAAGGACCCTGTGATTACACTGGGCCCACCTGGATCACCCAGGGTCCTCTCCCCAGCTCAGCACCCTTAACTGAATCACATCTGCAAAGTCTCTTCTGCCTTGTAGACAGTCTATGCGCAGGTTCCAAGGATTAGAAAATGGATAGATTTGGGGGGCCATTATTCTACCTACCACATGTGGTATTCAAGTTTCCTCCATGCTCCAGCATCAACCCTACGTTGTAGGCTGACCTTATGCCCAGACACACCACACTTTTCCCACCACTTTCCCAAGTCATACCCCAAATTTCACTGCCCCAGGCCTGTAATGCCTTTCTGAGGCCATAAAATCCTACTTGTCCTTCAGCAAAAGTAAAGTATCAGTCACTCAGTCACGTCCAACTCTTTGCAACCCCACAGACTGTAGCCTGCCAGGCTCCTCTGTCCATGGAATTTTCCAGGCAAGAATACTGGAGTGGGTTCCCATTCCCAGGGCATCTTCCTGACCCAGGGATTGAACCTGGGTCTCCAGCATTGCAGGCAGATTCTTTACCATCTGAGTACTGCTCAAAGGTCAGCGCCCCATGTGCCCTGTCCTGACTCACTCAGCTGCAATCATGACTGGTTTTCTTCTGCACCTGCATGAAGACCTATAAAAGCGTTCACTTTGATGAGTCCTTCCCTTACAGCTCCCATCTGCAGAATGACACCGAACACTCTATAGGGCAGAGACTGTTCATACATCCTTTATACTGCTAACCCCCTTATATGGAGTAAACACCTAAATGGGTGTTTAATGAATAACACACACACATGCAAACCCATACTCTTAAGGCAATAATGTAAAAGATGGGAAAATAGCTCCATAATCATGTGATCACTAATTGTTTTAGTAAGCTGCCTACTGGAGAAGTAAATGACAACCCAATCCAGTATTCTTGCCTGGGAAATCCCATGGACAGAGGAGCCTGGTGGGTTACAGNATCACTAATTGTTTTAGTAAGCTGCCTACTGGAGAAGTAAATGACAACCCAATCCAGTATTCTTGCCTGGGAAATCCCATGGACAGAGGAGCCTGGTGGGTTACAGTCCATGGGGTCGCAAAAGGGTCAGACGTGAGTTAGTGACTAAACAACAAACAAAAAGAAGCTGCCTACGATAGTGAAAAAATAGAAACCTAACAGTAATAGGACTGGTTCAAAAATGAGGGAGTATCAAAACAATGGCATGTTCTGAAACTGACCAATGTGATAAATATAAGATCCTGCAGCAACATGGAAAAGTACACACAGGATAATGCAGGGAAAAACTCTCAGAATATATTTGCTGCACAATAATTCCAGTTATTTTTGTAAAGCGCAGACATGTGAGTCTCCCACTCAAAACCTTTAATGATCCCCCCTTATCTAGACAGAATAAATTCCACCTTTCCCACTGGACTACATAAGGCCTTCCTCATCTGGCCCCAGGCTTTCCAGCACACTGCCTGGCAGAGGTGGACTGCCACGGGGATATAAACGCTCAGGCTGCAGTGACCACAGGGCCCAAGACGATCTGGGACAGTCCCAGCTTGAGATGTTTCACAGCCACGTCACAACTTGTGTGAGACTCTCTCTCAAGCCCCAGGGGCCTGTGTGCTCCCTGACTGTGCTGTTTGGCTGCCTCTGCGCACATCGCTTCCTTCTCTAGGAGTGTCTGCTCCCCAGCTCCACGAGAGGCCAAGCCCTACCCGTATATCAGAGTCTAACCCCAATGCCAGCTCCCAAATGAGGCCCCCCACCACCCTCTCAGCAGAATAATTCCCCCTCTTTCGGCACCACTCTGACAGCATTTATCACAGCCTGCACCACATGACGGGTGGGAGGGCAGACCCACAGCCCCACTACCTCCAGCTCACACCAGTGACAGATCACGGGCATGCTTCCATGCTGAGGTCAGATGTAGCCTCCAATCTTAATACAGCAATCCCAGGTAGCCACTAGCAACTGATCAGAGTTGTCAAGCGAGTTGAAATCTCTATGCCATTCCTATCTTGGCATTCTTTCTGGACACACATGTCCTCCTCCAGACTAGAGTCAGCTCCGAGGGAGCAGAGTCTGCCTGGTTTACCTTCGTTATCATTATTAGACGTGCCCAATAATGCTTGCTGAATAGAATGGCCCCACGTAATTAACTGGAAGGGAACACAGATAATGTAACACAGAAGGCTGTGTTGCTGAGGTGGGATTGTGGGTGAAGTCTGTCTCTTCTCTGCTTGCATGCACACAGTTGCTTCAGTAAACAAAAATGGTTTCAAATGAAGCAAAGACAGGAAGCAGGGAACCAGAGATGAAAGAGGAAGAAAGGGACCATGGATGAGCAGGATGGTCCGAGTACAGAGGCACATACATACCTCACGACTGGATTTCCGTGGTACAGGATGTAAATGCCAGCCTCCTTGTTTGAAAAGATTTGATTGTTCCGGATGATGCCTTTCCCATTGCCAAGGACAACAATGCCAGAGCGAAGGCCGTGGTGGATCTGGTTACACTGCAGGTGGACAGGAGAAGGCAGATCAGACACGCTGGGGAGCAGCAGAGGACTCAGCGCTGCCCCACGGCAGGGCCAGGATGCATCCGCAGAGGAAGACGCATCACTGCAGGATCCCAGGCACAGAGCAAAGTGAATGGACTGGGCGTGGCCCTGCCCTCTCTGCTCAGGTGCACACATGCATACCTGTCAGAGAGACTCCCGAGAGAGGCGTCTACCCGGCCCAGACTCTTGGGATCTATTAATAGTTACATCCTGACACTTAATGCTGAGGGCACTTGCCTTCATCTGCAATGCACAGTACTGAAAATTTCTGAGCCTCCAAAGAGTCCTCCAAAAATTTCTGAGCCTCCAAAGCGCATGGTCATCATCAAGGTCACGTTACTCCAGGGCCCCGGAGGCGGAGCCCCAATAGTGGGAACACTGACTAAGCACAGGCCTGAGGGACCACCCAGGGAAGGGAGGGGGACTGTGGAAGCTTAGCCCCAGGGAGCTGAGGTTTCCCATGAGACAGGAGGCCACCAGAAGGTATACGGGCTACAAGGACCTTGGAGGTGTTTCTGCCAAACTCCTCTGTGCTAACGGGGAAAGAGGCTCAGAGTCATACAGTACATTTGTGGCAGAGCTGGATCGGAAACCTAGCTTTTCTGTTTCCCAGTTAGTTGCCTTTTGCATACTGATTAAAATCTTCAGTTCAGTTCAGTTGCTCAGTCGTGTCCGACTCTCTGCGACCCCATGAATCACAGCACGCCGGGCCTCCCTGTCCATCAGCAACTCCCGGAGTTTACCCAAACCCATGTCCATTGAGTCGGTGATGCCATCCAGCCATCTCATCCTCTGTCATCCCCTTCTCCTCCTGNATTTAAACCAGGAAGCTAGCTGTTTCTTTTCCAAAACTATTTCACAAAAACAAAGTTCAAGTTTGCTTTAAAGTGCTTCCTGCTGTAGGAGCTCCTCTTCTTATCGGTTTCCAGATTTTCCCCTGGAGGATTTGGCAGACTCATCAGGGTAACCAAGTGTTTTTTTAGGGCAGACATCATGTCTTTATTCTTACTGAACTCAAAACCCACAAGAGCATATCAGGGCTGCAGGAAGGAAGGCCCTGTGAGCTTCCCTGACTGCTGGGTCCTCATCCTTGCTGGGGGAGACTTCAGGGATATGATTTATCCAAAGTCACCTTCAACACACGGAGGAAGAGACCAGAGTCACAAGGACATAGGAAAGGGCAGGAACGACTTGCAAACAGGAAGCAACAGGAATTAAAAACGGTAGAATTTGCTTAGACATCCTAGCAAAGGTTTCTGAGAACTATGAGCCACCCTGAAAGGGCACCGAGATGGAGGAAGTACCAGAATGAGGGGGTTGGACTTCTTCCGGATGTCCACGCCAGCCTCTGCGTTGTGGCAGATGTCGTTGCCAGCGATCAGGCCGCCACCCTCCAAGCGAAGAAAGATGCCCGATGCTCGGCAGTGGTGAATGTGGTTCCTGAGCATGACGATCTAGGCAGAGAAGAAACAGCCATTCGCTTTCTGGTCACAAAGGTTATGTCTTAAAACCTGCTCAGGGGGCGCCTGAGTTTCCTCCTCCCTATGTGGTCTGTGCAGATCTGCCCGACGCCAGCTCAGGTGCTCTCGCGACGTGCTCACCAGGAGGGAGTATCTCCACGCCCTTCTGGGTTTGGTCCTGCAGCCTCAGCACCAACCTCATACCTGTTCTTCACTAAACCCTGGATGGAAGCTTGGCCCTGGGCTCGACATCCACAACCTCGCAGCAGGATGGAAGGGATGCTTAGATGAGATGGGATTAGGCAGGCTGCTAACACCACATGAAGAGTTCCCCAGAGGTCTGAGGGCACAGCTACTTCAAATGGAACCAAGTGCCAATTCCAGGCACTTCTGCTGGACTTCACCTACCTAAGGAAGTGCTAGAGGGCAAGGTAACTCACAGGCACTCCTTGCCCACCGTCCCTTTGGCTTTTCACTTGTAAGACAAATATCCATTCTTGCCCACTCTGAATCTCTCTTAATGTGTTATCTTGGGATGGAAAACCCACTGGAATTCCAAACTAAGAGACAGTTAGAAATGTTGGTATAGGGATAAGGAAGCCTCTTTAAAACAAGATACCATAACTCAGCACACAGCTTAGTAAGAGGATGTATGGCCACTTACACTTTCTTTTTATATTTAATAATTACATAAAAACTTAAAATATGTCTTTTAAAAAACTGTGTATTAATAATAAAATAATTATGTGAAGGTAAATTGTGTATTAACAATAGACAATATATTACACTAGAGTTAAATCCTGGGAGGGGTAAAGTATAATGGAAGTACAATTTCAAGGTGATGCTTATGGCTTATGATGGAGAAAGTTAGAAAGAGTATTGCTCCCACAAGAAGATTCTCTGAATCCACGAGAGCTGAGGTCATAGCACAACCAACGAGCCTGGAATCTAAGGGAAAAAGGCACCTCCAAGGGCATGAGACGGGAGTGCCTGCTTGTTTGAAAAGACACAGGTGCCATGCTAGCCAGAAAGAAGAGTGTGGCTGTTTTCACAACTTGTTGAAAGCCAAGCGTGAATCAGTGAGAGCACAGAAGCCCCAGGAGTCACTGCATCTATTCACTTCTCCACAGACCGTGCCAGGTGCTCGTGGAGAAAGGCTGAGGGTCAGATAAGAGGCCGGAGATGCCTCCCTCCTGCCGGGCACTTGGCGGGAAAGAACAGTCACTCTGGAAAAAGCACTAAGCCCCTCTTGGATTTCCCCCCTAATTTTCCCAGAGAACAAGCTTTAAGCAGCTGGGTGAAGAGCTGCAAACCCCGTGGCTCTCGTGGGGGGTGGTGGAAGACAGAAAAGCAATAAACCCTTTACCCCTCAGGGATGTGGGAGGAAAATGTTTTGGGTCTTAAGGGTTAGATTTTCCCTCCTAGTGCAGGAGGTGAGGCAGGACCACTGCAAAGGGCCCACTGCCAAGGTCCTAAACTCATGGACACATCACCTACCCAAGACTAAGGATGAATGGGGATACCAGACACTCCTTACCAGGACAGCTCTGCCTCACTCAAGTCAGATGATGGACATGGGGCCAGCATGCATTATAAGCTTAAGAGACGATGACTTTTTAAAAAATGCAGACTAACTCCATCCAAGCCCTCCTGCATACAACCACTGAAGCACTCTCACCACTCAAAAATCATGTTCCTGGTGACCCAGTGAGGCCTCATGGGTCTGCACAGTAAGCCTATGACAGCACCTTGCTATGATGTATACATCGCACCGCGTAAGTCAGGTTCCGGAAGATGTTTCCTTCCATCCTGGCTCGGCCGTAAGAGCAAACAAAGACGCCTCCTTTGCCGTCCCGGAACAGGCACTTGCGGACGAGGCAGCCCTGCACGGAGCTGGCCAGGGCCATGGCCTCCCTGTCCTTCTGCAGCTCCTGCCGCAGGGAGTTCAGTACCAGGCAGCTGGGCAGCTGGATGCAGGCTCCGGGCAGCGGTGGGCCCAAAAAGGGGCCCCCCAGGACCGGCCGTGGGCCCTGCACTTGGTAGGACAGTCTGTACGTGAGCTGGTCCTCGTCCTCATCCTCACCGCTGGGACTCAGGCCTCCATCGCTGCTGTCTGGGGTCCGGGCCACCCTTTCCCCATTGCTGCCCACCTCTGCCTCCTGGGAGCCAGCCCTGGGGGAGCCGGTGGCTGGGCTGGTGGGGCTCTGGCTGCCCTCAATGACAATGCCACAGGTCCTCGGGCTCCAGGCCTGGTCCCTGCTCTCCAGGTCGAGGGACATTAAAGAGTCTGAGTCCTCGGTGGGGAGCATGCCGGGAGAAGACCTGATGAGCCCTAAGAGGTGCGTGTAGGCCCAGTTGTTTTCTGAGGACGGGTGGCCCTCGACAGTCACTGAGTTGTTCTCACTGCCTACGAATTCACAGTTTTCCAGGACACACAGGGGTACGTTGTGCAGAAAGACGTGAGTGTTCTTGAAGGAGCAAAACTTCACTTGGCAGGTGCCCGGGCCGTGGACCTGGATGTGCCCATTCTCGAAGTTGCAGTTGTCAAACTGGACGTGACCTGAAGTTGTCTGGGGGATGAGAGACAGACAGTGGGTGTAACAGGGATAGGATCTGTTTTGCTGGTCGGAGATCTGACTGCTCCAGAGGGGGTGGTGCCTCGAGAGGCCTCTGTCCTCTGTCCTGTTCCCTTCCCCACAGGGTGCAGGTCTGCCAGCCCCGGAGGAACCGGGAGCTGCTGTGCATGAAGGAAGCTGCCTGCCCCTCTCTCCCTCCAATCCCAAAGGGCGGGGGCGAGGGTGGAAACGGAGAACGGCAGAAAAGTTCACTCTGCAGCAGGGCCCCTCCCCAACCCCTCAGATCTCAAGTAAATTCTACCAATGCTCATGAAGCACTTAGAATAAGGAGTGTGTGGGGGGGACCTGCAGAAGGGGGAAGATGCTGAATGCTCAGAGGGATGATGGGGAACAGAATCGACACATGTTAACACTGGAAGTGAACCAGGAAACTCTCACTCTAGGGATGATTAGAAATGATGGGGAAGCTTCCCATTTCCACAGACCCAGGAGCTCGCTGGGATGCAAGCCCAACTTTACCAAGCCCTCTGAGGGGTAAGGGTCCCACGTGGGGCCTCGGTTTCACAGAGACTGTGTCCCATCATGGGGCACTTCTCTGGGTCTCACCCTCCAATGTGCTCTCCCATCCCTGTCATCCTCCCTGGGTCCTGCAAGCTAGCCTCCACCTGAGCCTGCGGACTGCAGCTCGCCAGAGGTCAGCCTAGTGTCTGCACTCAGGATGGAGCCAGGCGAAGTGGGAGGGCTGACAGAGGCCCAGGTGGCCAGGAGGGGCTGTGCCAGCAGTGGGAGGCCCTGACACAGGTGCTGGGGGTCTGCATGGGAACTAAAGCTGGTGCGCAGCTGGAGCAGGAGACAGCTGGCCACGTGTCTGAAGAGCCGGCAGCACAGAGGCTAAAAGGCGCAGGCTCCGAGGTCTGGCTGCCGGGCCCAGCTCCCAGCTCTGCCTCTTCCAAGGGTGTTACCTCAGGCCAACATGTCCCTTCTCCAAGCCTCAGTTTCTCTGTCTACAATACAGGGCTCACAAGCTAACAAAGCACCAGGCATGGAGCCAGGTGCAAAGATGGCATGTGATGAAAGCCAGCTATTATCACCGTGCAGAGCAGAGTCCTCTGGGGCAGGGGAGTGCTGAGCCCTCAGCTCTGCAGGCCTGACAGTGAGGCCTGGCTGCTCTGTATTTCTGAAGAACTGTTTCTGGACTTCACACCAAGTTCCATGAGATGTATTTGAACCACAAAAGGAGGGAGTGTCCCATGATCCCGTTCAGTAATCCTTGGACAATTTTACATCTTCCAGCAGTGATCTCCCTTGAGAGCTTGTCCCAGAACTTAACTCCCCTCAACCTGTCTAGTTCTTCCCTAGGGCCAACCTAACTTTTTCTTGCTGCAATTGAAGTCTATTTTCTCTTACTTGGTCCTCTCTGTAGGAAAACACTGGCTCTCTAGAGATGCAGAGCCACTGCCAGGGTTCCCCTCAAAAGTCATATAAAACAGCTGTGAAATCACCCTGGCCTTGGCATTGTCTCAGGCAGGGTGATTCTGGCCCCTTGTCCTGTTGTTAGTTAAAGGACAATCAGGGACTGAGCACTAATATATGCCAAGCACTGAGGCAGGAAGTGGGCTGAGCTACAGAGACATCTACGGCCAAGGCCTACCCCCTGAAGATCTGTGGCTACGCCGGCGAGGGGAAACAGAGGCTGAAATGAACATCTTACTCCAAGAATAAATGTCTATGAAATGTGAAGGGTCTGGAAATGAACACTTCTTCTGGGTCTGTAGATCAGCAGTGGAAGACCTCATCAGTCCTGAAATGTTCTAGGTCTAATCAGCAAGCAGCCTTCCAAGCTTCCAGGAAGACAGTACAATGTAATTTCAAAAGCGCTTCAGCTCAAAGGCCTGGATTTGAGGTCTAACCTAATTATCCACTTGAGAAAGTTACTCACCATCTCTGAGCCTCAGTGTCCCTCATCAGCAAAATGGGGACACATCTCTGTGCACTGCAAGTTTGTTGTGAGAGCACTGATGCAGTCACCTGTATCATGAATAGAGGTTTTGAACCCTAGTTCTGTCCCTTACACAGTCTGAGACCCTTGCTTAGGCTCCATGTGCTTGTCTATGAGGCCGGCTGACACTGCCCATCTTAAACACGCTGTAAGGACATGCCTGGCCCCCAGGAAGTGCATCATAAATGACCGGCAGCATAAAGATCACTATGACCCTGACAGACAATCTGGTTGTTACTGGTAGAATAGTGGTGGTGTAGTTTTTGTTGACAAGGTACAGAATCCATGCACTGGAATCAGTTTCTAAGCAATGTAAAAGCTGCAGACTGTTCTGCCAGGAGCTACCAACAAGCTACCGTGTTTGTCTCTGAAAACAACTGCTCTGTTCCTAGAAGGACTATGTTGTTCTGCTATTTCCCGACTCTCTCTCCAGTCACTCTTGGCAAAAGCCAGACCTTCCTTGACCCTCCCCAGAGCGGGGCTAACATGCTGAAGGTCACTGGCTTGCAGGGCGTCCCCTCTTTGGCCATCTCTCTGGGAATGCTGCCTGTCACCATGCGGCATGCTCCTGGAACCTGGCTTTCCCTCCCGGCTGCTCCACCTGTGGCCCCAGTTGGTCTAGCTTGGAAGGGAAGATGTACAAGGCAATCTTGACCTCCAGGGAGGGAATAAAGCAGAATGTTGATCTTTACTGATCCCCATGCCTTCTCAACTGGTGTAGAACTCAGAGGACTGTGTTATAGGAATGACGACTGAACTCTCAGTTCCAACAAAAAAAGGGTTACAAACCCGCCGAGAAGAGGCCAAGACTCAGGGTCAGGCTGGGAGAGGCTGTCCGTTGGAGGTGGACACCCACCTTAAACATGAAGGGCGAGAACCAGGCCGGCATGAAGACAAGGTTGCAGAGGCGAGTGGTGGAGCACTGCTGGTCAATGCTGGCCAGCAGGGCCACTTCGCCCAGCTTCCCGTGGCCTACGATCTCCACGGGCACCTTCAGGATGATTTCACCTTGCTCTTCGTGCAGGCCTGGGAACAGCAGGATTCGGTCAAACAGGCTGGACATGGCCAGGGCACTGCCGAGGCTGTGAAACTCGTGGCCTGGCCCAACACTCAGGGTCCGGCGCGCCCTCCTCCGGCGAAATAGAGAGAAGCAGGCAGAGGTCTCCAAGATGGCGGCGTTCTTGGTCCAGGTCTTGGAGGCAAGGTAATGCTGCTTGAAGGCCTCCCTCCAAGATTCGGGCTCCACATCGGGCTGGTTGGGCCAGTTGGGGTGGCGGCACTCAGCACAGCCCAGATACAGCTGCCGCCAGCGAGTCCTGTCGAGACTGAGGATCAGCTCTCGCCAGGCCCTGCATACCAGGCTGCAGCGGCCCAGGTCGGGCAGCGGCAGGTAGGCCAGGATCATGCGCCACAGCTCCAGGGGGAGGCCGCCAGCCTCCATGGTCACCTGGGACACAGAACAAAAGAGGTGTTTGTCTACCCTGCTTACGGTCCCCTTTCTTAAAATATCCCCTGACACCACAGAAATACAAAGGATCGTAAAAGGCTACTACAAGCAACTATGCCAAAAAAATGGAAAACCTAGAAGACATGGACAAATTCATAGATAGGAACAATCTTCCAAGCCTGAACCAGGAAGAAATAGAAAAATATAAAAATAGACCAATCACAAGTACTGAAATTGAAACCATGATTAATAAAATTCCAACAAACAAAAGTCCAGGACCAGATGGCTTCACAGGTGAATACTAACAAACATCTAGAGAAGAGTTAACACCTGTCCTTCTAAAACTATTCCAAAAAATGGCAGAGGAAGGAATACTTCCAAAATCATTCTATGGGGCCACCATCAATCTGTTATCAAAACCAGACCAAGATACCAAACAAAAGAAGAAAAGAAAACTACAGGGCAATATCACTGATGAACATAAATGCAAAAATGTTTAACAAAATACTAGCAAACTGAATCCAACAACATATTAAAAGGACCATACACCATGACCAAGTGGGATTTATCCCAGGGATGCAAAGACTTTTCAAAAAAATGCAAAACAATCAGTGTGATACACCACATGAAAAAATTGAAGGATAAAAACCATATGATCATCTCAAAAGATGCAGAAAAAGCTTTTGACAAAATTCAACACCCATCTGTGATTAAAAAAAAAAACCCTCTTCAAAAAGTGGGCACAGAGGGAATATACCTCTACATAACAAAGGCCATAGATGACAAACCCAAAGCTAACATTGTCCTCAACAGTGGAAAGTTGAAAGCATTTCCTCTAAGATCAGAAAGAAGGCAAGGATATCCACTCTTGCTGCTTTTATTTAACACAGTCCTAGCCACAGAAATCACAAAAGAAAAATAAAAGGAATCCAAATTGGAAGGGAAGTAAAACTATCATTGTTTGCAGATGCATGATATTATACTTACAAAATCCTAAAGATGCTACCAGAAAAATACTAGAGTTAATCAATGAATTTGGTAAAGTTGCAGGACACAGAAATCTCTTGCTTTTCTATACACTAACAACAAAAGATCAGAAAGAGAAATTAAGGGAACAGTTTGATTTACCACTGCATCAGAAAGAATAAAACGCCTGTTAATAAACTTACCGAAGGAGGCGAAGGGGCTTCCCTGGTGGCTCAGACAGCAAAGAATCTGCCTGCAACGCACGAGACCCGGGTTTGATCCCTGGGTCGGGAAGATCCCCTGGAGAAGGAAATGGCAACCCACTCCAGTATTCTTTTTTGTTTATTCATTTATTTTTATTAGTTGGAGGCTAATTACTTCACAATATTGTAGTGGTTTTTGTCATACACTGACATGAATCAGCCATGGATATACATGTGTTCCCCATCCCGATCCCCCCTCCCACCTCCCTCTCCACCCAATCCCTCTGGGTCTTCCCAGTGCACCAGGCCTGAGCACTTGTCTCATACATCCAACCTGGGCTGGTGATCTGTTTCAC